TGATTACAGAATTGCCCAAATTTCATTTTCTAATTGTAACCGAAACTCAAACGTCATCAGATTTTCCTGATTACATTTAATTGCTGTTTAAATATTTTCTTTTAATTGTTGACAGGTTTCTACTGGTGTCAACTTTAAATTGAATTCGAAACTTTAATTGTTACAATAAATAAGTTTTGAAAAGTTCTTTAAAGTGTCGCCATCTTTTGACAGAATCTACACGCACTTACCTTTTTCTTTTTCGGAAAAAGTTCAAATTTTTTCGCTTTCGGCATTGGACATTTCCTATTCAACGAAAATTATTGATTCAGAGGAAATTGAATCGATTTTCAAGAAAAAGTTGATGTTAGCTGAACATGTAGTTCGGTGCCTTCAGGTAAACACCCTGGTGGTAAAAATGCTTGAAGTATTGTCTATATGATGAAAAAGCTTCTAATTAGCTAATTGTTTTAATCTTATCATTTGGTGATGAGAACTTTTTTTCCTGGAAAGATAAGATAAAATATGAAACTCTATAACTGTGATTCGTCAATCGAATCAAGCAATTTAACTTTTCAATTTTATTTCTAATGTAAAGATGTAACAACAAAATGATTTGGAGATGACCAATAGAAAGATAATCAACTGATGTGAACATTGAACTTTTAATTTGGATATGAACTTTTCGAATAAAATTATTTTTGACTGAATACATTAATTTTTATCGTTAATTGAAGAATTAATTAACAACTTGCTGATCTACGGCACTTTAACAAACTGTTACATCTGCATTTTTAGTCAAGTGCTTCAATCAATCAAAATTCAAGCTGATGAAAGTGATTTTTACAATCAATCGATTCTCTCTCCATATAATCGGTTTCGTGGTGTAATGGTTAGCACCTAGGACTTTGAATCCTAAGATCTGAGTTCGAATCTCGGCGAAACCTGATATATTTTTGAACTTTTCGATAGTTCGAAACATACATTCAATGTTCAGAACAAAAAACTCCAAAAATTAGTCTTCAACCTGAACGTTTAAGATTTACAAAGCAGAACTTTTTTAATCATCAACCGATAACTGAATATAAACTTAGACATTTAGAGACATAACAATTATCGATACAAACAGCTCATTTTCTCGAACGGTCAAAACAGAAAATTTAATCGGAAATAAGTGAGGACCGAAAAATCCCAATCGATATCTTTTCTCTCCCAAAACTCCGGCCTTTACACAACAGTATTGAATTATTTGAATAATTAAATTGTCAATTTGTCGATCACAAGGAAATCAATCTTTCTATTCGCTAACCGGAAATCGGAAATTAGCACTTACTTCAACAAAAGGTTACGGAAATACTACCTGAACATATATTTGTACAAAGGGCCTCAAATTAATTTGAATTTTATTATTGAATCTCTAGTGTTTACAATGTGAATCAGTAATTACCGATCAAACATTGGTACCTGCACAAGAATCACCTTGTAATTATTGATTATCGTTAATTTTGTCTATTTTTCTATTGAAAAAGAGAAAGATATGAATTTTAGATTTAAATTGAATTGAATTGTTGATTATCATTTAATTGTCAATTGCCGTTTTTAGACTTCAAGTAAACTACTCTCAACGCATCTAATTAAGTTCATACAATAATTTGAATTTTGTTTATATTGATACAGATGAGATCAGTGAGAATCCACATGTTCCAATGTTAATCATCAACAATTGACTATTAAATTATTATTATTTGAAAATCGAAAGATAAAAGTTTAATTAGGAACCGTTGGAAAGATCTGGTTGTTTACTTTTTGCTCAGTAGTTAATGCCGAGCATTTATTTGGATAGGATTGGTATAAAAAGGATCACTTTTTAGGTGAGCTGATATCATTTACAATCAATTGATTTAATCAATAACAACAATTAAAGTTTCTTCGTTAATCTTTTGTGTTAAATTGACATTTCCATTCTCAATCATCTTATAAAATTTTCATCATGAATTTCAACATTATTCGAGTTCTAATGGTTTTAGTTATCTTGGTTGTTGCTGCTTCGGCTCGTCCAACTAGTCCACCGGCAAGTCAACCAAAAAGGAAAACTACTACGACTACCAAAATCCCTTTCAATATCCATGGTGGTCCACCCTCAGGGGTTGTGAATTAAGAACGAAACTCAAAACTCATGATTACACCAATAATGATCATTTGCAGGTTCGAACGAAAAGTTCAAGTTTGATGTAACTCATATAGAATAAAAAGAATTTCAAATATCAAATTTTACAATTCTCTAAATTTATTCGTGTCTATTTTCGTCATCAATCAAATGCTATTCGAAATTTACTTGGATTTAAAGTAAAATGAAAGTCACAATTATTAAAAAATCCACAATTCTCGCGTCTCGTCATTACCTAAATGTCTCTACTATGAATCGATTCTCTCCTAATATACAGTCGTGAAAAATGAGTTTCGAATGGTTTTTAATCATTTGCGCAGGTAGTGACTAAAATTAACAGATTAAACAATCAAGATAAGAAAAATCAATGAGTAAATCATCTAAGTCTTATCACTTATGCTAAAGATGATCAATTAATTTTAGATAATCAACTGATGTGAGCCTTGAACTTTTAATTTGGATAAGAACTTTTCGAATAAAATTATTTTTGACTGAATACGTTAATTTTTATCGTTAATTGAAGAATTAATTTACAAACTGCTGCATCTGTATTTTTAGTCAAGTGCTTCAATCAATCAAAATTCAAGCTGATGAAAGTGATTTTTACAATCAATCGATTCTCTCTCCATATAATCGGTTTCGTGGTGTAATGGTTAGCACCTAGGACTTTGAATCCTAAGATCTGAGTTCGAATCTCGGCGAAACCTGATATATTTTTGAACTTTTCGATAGTTCGAAACATACATTCAATGTTCAGAACAAAAAACTCCAAAATTAGTCTTCAACCTGAACGTTTAAGATTTACAAAGCAGAACTTTTTTAATCATCAACCGATAACTGAATATAAAACAACATAAAACATTTCGATAATTATTAATTATCGATACAAACAGCTCAATTTCTTGAACGTCCAAAACAGAAAATTTAATCGGAAATAAGTGAGGACCGAAAATCCCAATCGATATCTTTTCTCTCCCAAAACTCCGGCCTCTATACAACAGAATTGGTCGTCTTATTTGAATAATTTAATTGTCAATTTGTTGATCGCAAGGAAATAAATCTTTCTATTCACTAACCAATCAGTTAGTTAATCAACTAATCATCAGCTTTTCATGTTTTGACAATCGGAAATCAGCACTTACTTCAACCAAAGGTTACGGAAATACTACCTGAACATATATTTGTACAAAGGGCCTCAAATTAATTTGAATTTTATTATTGAATCTCTAGTGTTTACAATGTGAATCAGTAATTACCGATCAAACATTGGTACCTGCACTCTAATCACCTTGTAATTATTGATTATCGATAATTTTGTCTATTTTTCTATTGAAAAAGAGAAAGATATGAATTTTAGATTTAAGTTGAATTGAATTGTTGATTATCATTTAATTGTCAATCGTCGTTTGTAGATTTCAAGGAATAATTCTCAGCTGATCTGATTAAGTTCATACGAGAATGCAAATTCTGGTTTATATTGATACAGATGAAATTCAGTTATAATCCAAATATTCATATGTTAATCATCAACAATTGACTATTAAATTGTTATTATTAGAAAATAAAAAGACAAAAGTTTAATTAGGAACCGTTGGAAAGATCTGGTTGTTTACTTTTTGCTCAGTAGTTAATGCCGAGCATTTATTTGGATAGGATTGGTATAAAAAGGATCACTTTTAGGTGAGCTGATATCATTTACAATCAATTGATTTAATCAATAACAACAATTAAAGTTTCTTCGTTAATCTTTTGTGTTAAAGTGACATTCTCTCAGTCCATTCTCACTCATCTTATAACGTTTTCATCATGAATTTCAACATTATTCGAGTTCTAATGGTCTTAGTTATCTTAGTTGTTGCTGCTTCGGCTTCACCTATTCCAGTGGCAAGTAAAGGCAAGAAAACTACTACGACTACCAAAATCCCTTTCAATATCCATGGTGGTCCACCCGCAGGGTTGGGAACTTAGTACGAAACTCCAAAACTCATGATTACACCAATAATGATCATTTGCAGGTTCGAACGAAAAGTTCAAGTTTGATGTAACTCATATAGAATAAAAAGAATTTCAAAATATCAAATTTTACAATTCTCTAAATTTATTCGTGTCTATTTTCGTCATCAATCAAATGCTATTCGAAATTTACTTGGATTTAAAGGAAAGTGAAAGTCACAATTATAAAAAAATCCACAATTCTCACGTCTCGTCATTACCTAAATGTCTGATCGTCGAATTGACAAAAATGACCTTTTAACTTGTTGACATCCAATCTATTCAACTAGAGTAATGGAACTGACAAACATAAGCTAAAATTAATTACTCCGCAACAATCTAACTACATCAATCAAAATTCAAGCTGATGAAAGTGATTTTTACAATCAATCGATTCTCTCTCCATATAATCGGTTTCGTGGTGTAATGGTTAGCACCTAGGACTTTGAATCCTAAGATCTGAGTTCGAATCTCGGCGAAACCTGATACATTTTTGAACATTTCGACCAAAACAAAACCACCATCCCAATTAATGAACTTAAAAAACTAGACTAAAAAAGAGAACCAACAAAATGCCATTTATATTTTTTTTCACTCCAAAGTTCCAACTCCAACACAACAGGATAAAACCTCAACTCTCTCAACTCGAAGAACAAAACAAAAAATGTCACATTATCAAAATTAAAACCAAAACCAAAACCAAAACAAAGAAAAGTTCGAAAAGAATCAAAAATGTAGAAAAACTTTTTCATCGATCAACATAATTTAGTTAAATTTCCACCCAACAGATGGAGCCACAAATCGGTGAAATTCTTTTCCAAACTTAATTGTGGTTCTTTTTGAACAGGTAAGCGTAGTGAGAGTGAGGCCTCACCTTTTCAAACCATTTTCACATTTACCTTTTAAAACCAAGCCGATAAAAAGCTTTTGTTGTAAACTCTTATATTCTGTTGTGTGTGTTAACAAGCAACAAACCAACAAGAGAAAAAAAAATGATTTAGAAACTTAACTAATCAAAATTAATACTTTAATCTTCATCAATGTATCTCTTTTGTTCAGTGTAACAGCTAATCAATTAATGGACATTACTAATTATTAAATTATTGTGTCTTAAGTGTAATAACAAATTAACTAATTTCCAGTTGACGGTAAACATTGGAAACAACAAATTGACAATGTTCAATTTATTACTTGCATCTTATAGTAACACCAACAACAAGAGAGAATCAAGTTTACCTGTGATAACCTGTTGGTTGTCTACATTTTTTTTTATTCTTTTAACTTTTTTACCAAATTGTTATGCTTCTGATCTAATTAATTTAACAAATTCTTCATCAACGATTAATTCAACCATTGATTATACAACAATTAATTTAACAACAACAACAGAATCAACACCAACCTCTTGTTCACCTTCTTGTGTAAATGGTATTTGCCATCAATCTAAATGCTATTGTGTTCCAGGATTTACAGGTAAGTGTTACACCGATGCCAATGCAATAATCTTTATAGTGTTAATGGTCAGTCTGGTTGGAGAAGTGAATCTCCGGTACCGGAATTTTCTAGTTTTTCAATGTTCTTTTTTAGCTTTTTGTGTTCTATTCTAAATACTTTCATGTTCTCTTCTGTTTTCTCTCTCTTAGGCAAACGATGCGAGAAACGGTGGGATGATTGTGTATCACAACCTTGTCAAAATGGTGGAACCTGTGAAATTGATGGATCTCACTATAAGTGCATCTGTCCAGCGGGTTATACTGGACCTTTATGTGAAAAGGATATTGATGATTGTGCCTCTTCACCTTGTCTAAATAATGGTACATGTACTGATCTATTAAATGGTTTTACCTGCTCTTGTTTACCCGATTGGACAGGTAAACTTTGTGAATCAAAGATTGACTATTGTGATCCAAATCCGTGTGAAAATGGTGGATCATGTTTTTCCTCTTCCGATCAATTTAATGTCTCATGTTTGTGTGACATCGGTAAGTGACTTGACTTTTTTTCTTATAAATTCTTCTCATCTTATTGTTCCGGTCACTTGCTCATTTGTCTCTATTATTTTTCTTATCTCCATCAATTCATTTATTAGGTTATTCTGGTCAGTTTTGTGAAAACCGAGTGTGTGACCCAACTCATTGTAATGGAATCTGTTTGAATGATACTTGTTTCTGTAAACAAGGTTATAGTGGTAAGTAATTGTCTCTTTGTCAATTAATTGATTCTTATTCTATTGTTTACTTATAATTGTGTGATTAAATTTGATTTCTCCAGGTATCCATTGTCAGGAAGATATTGATGAATGTGCTTCCAATCCATGTGAAAATGGTGGTGTTTGTGAAAATTTAATCGATGAATTTAAGTGTCATTGTAAATTGGGTTTTGAAGGAAACCGATGTAATATCAACAAAGATGAATGTGCCACCAATCCATGTGAAAACAATGGTACCTGTATCGATGGTATCGCTGATTATACCTGTTTATGTTCAACTGGATTTATTGGTAAAAATTGTGAAAACAATACAGATGAATGTGCATCTAACCCATGTCACAATGGAGGTACTTGTGTCGATGGTATCAATAGTTATACCTGTTTGTGTCCAACCGGATTTATTGGTGTTTATTGTGAAAATGAAACAAATGAATGTCAACCTAATCCTTGTTTCAATGGTGCAACATGTAAAGATTTACATAATGATTTCTTTTGTCACTGTCCACCCGGTTGGGATGGTAAAACTTGCTTCAATGATATAAATGAATGTCTATCAAATCCATGTCAAAATAATGGTACATGTAACAATTTACCCAATAATTATTCGTGTTCCTGTGTTCGTGGTTACACCGGAAAAGATTGTGAAATTGATATAAATGAATGTGACTCATCTCCATGTTTAAATGATGGATTCTGTGAGGAAGGTATTGATGATTTTACCTGTCAATGTCAGGAAGGCTACCTTGGTCCTACCTGTTCTGAACTTTATGATGCGTGTGCATCCTCACCATGCATGAATGGTGGTAACTGTACCACTGAACGTCCCTCTAAATTGTATACCTGTGAATGTCCGGAAGGATTTGAAGGTAAGTTTTCAAAGAAGAACAACTTTTTTTCTATTCTTTTTTTTCATCAACTATCACTAAGATCAAGAAGATTTAAGAAAAAATCAGAATATACCTTCACTCTCTCTCTCTCTCTCTCTCTCTCTCTCTCTCTCTCTCTCCTGAGCGCTGACTCTACCGATTGAAAACCGGATTTTTACCTGAGATACTTTATAAAGTTAATCTCTTAAAATCTCTCTTTCTTTTTTTACAACCTGAACCTTTTTCTTTTCTGTTCTCTTACATTACCTGTACAAAATTCAGGGGACAAAAAGATAAGGAAGAGTTAATAAGCTCTAAGCTTCTGATTGAAAGGAAATGGACAGACATTTATTTTCCCTCCAGAACTCTTGCAAATCACCCTGTATGTCCTGTCTTACTAGATCTTCCCACCACCAATTATAATGATTGTAATTATTGTAAATACAAGCAACAAGACTCAGGGAAAAATAAAATTTCAGCTTATTAGGTTTCTCTCTCTCTCTCTCCATCTTTCCTTTTCTCTTCTTTTACTTTTCTTCTTCATCCTCATCAGTATTTGTTTACTAAATCACTTCTCTTTCCTTTCTCTTTTAGGAGGTTTCTGTGAAAAATTTATTCTACTTCAAAATCCATTGGATCCAGTATTCGTTAGCGTTGTCAGTTTAATCTGTGTCCTGATTATCCTCCTGTTAATCTTAACCCTAATCTTTGTAAGATCGGTGAAAAAGGCTCGAGCAACTAGAGGAACTTATTCACCATCAACCCAAGAAATGTTTGGTAATTCATCAAGTGAAATCCTGAAACCACCTCCAGAGGAGAGATTAATTTAGATTAACAATTAATTTTTTTGTTCTCTACCAATTTTAAATATCTAATCTTCTTTGTATAATTATTTTCTATTGATAAGTTTTCTTCTTCTTCTTTTTCTATCACTAAACCCAATTTATTCCCTATTATTAACTATTATTACCGTTAGTTATCATTTCTATTATGATGATTATTATTACAATTATTTGTAATTTGATCTAATGTCCAGTTGTTTTGATTGGGACATTTGTCAAAAACGAATCAACTTTCATTCCATTCCATCCATTTATACAAACTCACACACCTCACCCTCTAAATGATGAGGAAGATGAAGGATGTGATTGTATTGACATTTAATTTATCTCTCTCATGTAAAAAAATACACTTTATTTATATACACAACATGGTCACTCTCTTGACCACCATTTACATGGTTACTTTGCCGCTGTTACCCTGCCTCGTATTGCCTTTCATCTTGATAATCATCATCATCATCATCATCCGCCAGCTCATCATCACTTTAGTCTCTCCAAGAACAACAACAATTAATCATCTAAATTGATTAGCTACCAGCTGATTGTAATCAATTCTGTCAATTGGAAATTCATAGATTTATGTTTTCTGTATAACTTTTTTTTTATATACTTTCTATCAATCAGATTGTGAATCTAATTTTTCATCACCATAGTTAATTACAATTAACTCTTTTTCTAAGAATAATGGAACTTTTTTTCCCTTCTTCCTCTTTTGTACAATAATCAACGAAAAATCAAATTTGATTCTCTCCATTTAAATCACAATTTGGTTAATTTGTCAAGAAATCAGCTCATCATCAATCTAAATTTAATTTCATTGGAAATCATAATAATAGAAATTGATAACAATTGAATGTAAATTATTAATTTTCCTACTTCTAATTTGTACAATCACTTAATTGATCTGAATATTGATCATGATGAAAATAAATTTTCTAATTATTAATTACTTAATTGTTGGCTTGATAACAATACGAACAAGTGAAAATCAATCAACCAACCTTAATTGTTACACTTTTCATATTCTACTGAAAAATGATGGAAAAAATTACAATTAAATGATAGAAATGGTAAAGAGATTAAATAATATTAATTCTCAATATTTAATTTCTTTAATCGAAAAGTTAAATGATTGCGAAAATTTTTCTTCCTTAATCCAGTTAATCTGTTTTCCTTTTCACTTGATTAACATTGAATATTAAATTAATTTTCCTTTTAAAGTCTTTCAATTAAAATATTAGTTTTCTTTCAACTTATTGGAACCAATTAATTTTGACAATTAACTAGAATTTTTCTGATGAAAGAGTTAATTGTTATCATGTTAACAGAAAATCAGACACAATTAGGGAGTGGTAACCAGTATTTGGATTAGAATTAGAAAAACAAAATCTATCAACTGATTAAGTGAAATGAGTGAATCGAGATTGATTATTTAGTAATAGGAAAAGAAACAATTTGATTGTTAGCAAATTAACAAATATGGTGCGTCTTAATACTAATAGACTGATTGTTAATTGTTGTGATAACAATTAAAGAAGAAGAGGATGAGAAAAAGACAATAGAAAATTGAATAATTTCAATTTCAATTTCAATTTAAATCTTTTCTGCTTTATCATTTACACACAATTGGAAAACAAAAATCCTAATTTACTGTTATTGTTATGGATTTTCAAATAATAACATTTGATGAGTTTGGTGAACATGGTAAATGAATGAATGTTCATCATCTGTGAGTTAATTGGCTTAAAGTAAACAGTTAACCAAGATTCTTGTTGATGGTTTTAGATTAATGTAGTTGTTGATTGTTGGAGTGGCCATTTAGGAAGAAAAGGTGAATTAGCTTCTTCACCATTATCATCATCTCTTTATCAACATTTAGGACTTTGATTCAATCTTGTTAACCTGAAATTCAGGTCACTTTATACACACACAATATACTTACCATCATCCTCATCCTCATCATCATCATCATCTTCATCATCATCATCATCTAAATTACAATTAGAAAAGAAAGAAAGAAAAACAGTATATCTTTCTTAATCTTGTTTCGTTTTTTCTTTCCTTTTTATCATAATTCTTCTTGATTGTTCTCCTATTGTTGGCTGTTGTTGTTGATGTTCAATTGTAAACATGTTGTTGAATAAACAGTTAACTGTAATCAACAATTGAAGAGACACAATTTAAATCAGTAAACCAAAATTACGCCATTTATTGTAATTCATCACAAAAGGTAAACCTAACCAGGTATAGAAAAGGGTAAGTAGATTGTAGATATTGGGTTAAGATGAAAACACTTTCAAGTGAAAGTGATTTTCCATTTTTCTCCTCTTTCATTTTCACTCAAAAATTTGTCATGAAATTGAAATTATCTAAACTTAAAACCACAATTGAAAAGAAAAGAAATTATTTAATCACAGAAATTAAATCAATTAAACAAAGGAAATTACTATTAACCGGTAAGCGAAAGGGTTGCTAATGGTTACCGAACATCAGCTGTTCGTCTATTCGAATTTTTTTTTTATTCTATTTTCTTGTTTTTTTTTCCTGGTTACATGTTCTGTTTGTTTTCTTCCTTCTTTGTACAATTAACTATTATTTCAAATTGTTGTTCATTAACCGTCATTCTAATGTTCTGACGTAATTAATATGTTTATAATTTCCTATTGATTTGGTGATTCATTGTAGAGAAAGAGACAGAGAAAAGATTTCCAAGTGAGAGAAATATTCTCAACATGATGAATGGTGATTAAGGTGAGTAAATACCATTGGAAAATTAGGTAAAACTGTATATCTTTGAAAAGATAACCTTGGTTAAAGAAGTAATAATAACCTTGGATAAATTATTTCATGGAAAAAATATAATTAACTATACCCACATTTGAGTGATTCCTTGTTGAGTGAGAGGCAACAATTTAAAATTCCCAATGATTGGTAAGTAAATTGTTTCTCTTTCTTTCTTTCTTTCTTTCTTTTTACTCTTTGTAAATGACACTTTTTAAAAGAATTAGAGAAAAGAATAAATTTTTTCATTCTCTATTCTTAATCTATCATGGATAACATTTCCTTGTTATGTTATCTCTTTGTTTCTAATCTCAAGTAACAATTTTTTTCTCTTCTATTTTGTTTCCTCTACGATTACCACCACCTCCCAAATACCACAAACCATTAACCTTACACCTCAATAAATGGGTGAATACATTGAACTTTGTATTTTCCTTTTTTCTCTTCCTTTGATTAACATAACGACAATTATAACAGATCCCAAGAGGAGAGAGATACTTGATAATCAAGACAATCGGAGACCTCTGACTGTTTGATGGATCCAATTGAAACAATAGGAGGGGCTGATGATGGTATTTTATGTCAACAATTGTACTTGCCAAGGGAAAATAACAACACAATTAGTCTAATTGTGTTTAGATTGTTAAACTTTGCTGATTGTGTTTACCTAAAACAACATTGGAAATGAAGAAATGTTTTTTTTCTGGTTTTCTTTCTGATTATTTGGTTGATTGTTTTCTCACTCGCTGGTTAATGAAGCAAATAAGTATTGAGAGGATCGAGCAAATCTTTGGCTGTAAAGGGAAAGATTCCTTGATTAACCTTTAATAATTGGAATTGATTGTTACAATTTAACACCCTCATGGAAAAACAAAGTGGAAATAGTTTATATATCTGATAACTGTTGTTGATTAACAGTTGATTGTCCATATAACTTGAGATAATTTGATGGTTATCATGATTTTCTTACAGTTTTTGATAATCAAAGTTTCAACAATTTAATACAGATTAAGGTTCACCTAATTTAAGGTATTCGCCAAGATGAATCCAGTTAATCAACCACAATTATCTTGATTGTCTTCAATCAAGGACATTACATTAAAAAAATAACCAACCACAATAGCATTAAATTGTTCATTGTTTATCAACAATCAACAAATAAATGATAATGAAAGATTGAGTAAATTGTTACAGTTGAAGGAATGAAATATAAAAACAAAATCACAACAATTTAGAGATTAAAGTTTTATCATATTAATTGTTTTACTTTTAATAAAAAACAATATCAATCAGTAAAACTGATTGATTTACCGTCCAACTAATGGACAATTAACTTTTTGGTACAATCCTCTTAATAATAATCAGGTAATTCCAAGTAAATAAAACAAACAATAACAATTAAACCTTTTCTAATCAAATTATACTCATTGGAAACAATCAACTACCATCATAATCAAGGTAATTATCATAATGATGATTTAAAAATATCAACAAGATTAACCAAATTAAAAGCAATGTTTTCATTATTAACAATAAACTACTATTAATAATGAGATGATAATAATAATACATTCAGATTGTCAAGTTAATTGTTACAATATTGAAATGTATTATTTACTTTTGTAATTAGAATGATACAAAATAGATTATTACAATTAAGGGATTATGATTGAATTACAATTGAAATTGGTTCATTTTCAGTCTCATGATTTAACTGAAACTTGAGATGATTAATATTTGAATGGAAAACCAGTTTAATCTAAATAAGATGATTATTATAACTGATTTAATATCGTTCACTTGATTATAATAATCATATGTTACGATAATCAAAGTTGATTGTAATTACGATTTTAAATTGTTGTTGTTGATTCTGTCTTGGGTTAGTCTTATTGATGAAGATGAACTTTTTCAATTGCTGGTCAGTTCGGGCGGAGGTCATTCTCAATTTCGTGATTCAATTCATTCATGGAAAACATTTGCTCGCAATTGTAGAGTAACAATTAACGGCTACAATTAAAAACGATTCACAATTTAGTTGTTTCCGTTGAGTATTTGAGACATGCGATGTTATTTGTTATCAATTGTTTCTGATTAAATTGTTTCTTTCATGTGGTTAATCCAGTTTATCTTGAATAATTTAAATTGTTAACCATTGATTGTTGACTGATCAATGTGAGAATTGCAATTAATCAGTGAAAAAGAAATGTTAATTTCCTTAATTGTTATCAGAACCGGAAAAATGATCAAGGTTAACATTGATAAGATGGTCAGGTTGTTATCATGATGATGATTACTTAATCATGATTAACTGTGTATTTGATTCATGATGTGAATTATTCATCCTCATGATGAATATGAATGAAAATTATTCACAAATTTTGACCAGAAAACAATTTCTTTTATTTTCATGAGAATCTTCATCTTCATCTGGATAATATCTTACCTGTAATATTATTGTAATCAAATTAATCTGATTGTTATTTGGATTATTGTATTATCATTATCATTACAATTTAAAGTTAATCTAAACTTTTACAGATTCTCATAAAGTTTATTAAACTTTTCCAACTTCTACCATGAAAAAAAATAAACTTTGAGGAAAAAGGTAAAAGACAAACCTTGTTTTTCATAATCATCTTCATCATGGTAATCTTAAAATTCTGGATTCATGATTTCTTCACGTTACCATGAAGAAGAAGTAAAAATCTAAACAATATTGAGTTTCCAACATTTCAATCAAATCAGTTTTCTTGGGTAAATTGTTAACTGATCACATATTAGTTACTTGTCTATTATCTGAACATATCATTAACTACTACACACACAGGTAACAATCAAGTTAATCAACGTAATTGAACATTTATCTTTGGTGAACAGAAAAAGGATTCACTTTGAATCTCAGGTAAGAGCCAAGAAAAACTGGTTACCTGAGACTTTTTTTTTACTTTTTTGAATTTGAAATTTTTTCTTTCGCCGCTTCTGTTGACCTTCAATGAACAACGGAAAGAGGGTGGAAGACAAGATGATGATGATGATGATGATTAGAAAGAAATAAAGAAATAAAGAAAGAGAAATGGTAAGAAAAGGAGGGAAGATGATGAAAGAAAAGTAATAGAAAACTCTGTTGGATTCAATTTCAAGATTCCATTGAAATAACATGGCAATCGTTACCTGAGGATGAAGATGATGATGATCAGGTTGATGGAGATGATGATGATGAGGAAGATGAGGATGAAGATGGAAAAATTTACTCTCCAAAGCTAATGAGAAATGCCAATGTTGTTACACGTTTCATGTTAACTTGATTTTCTTTCAAAAGTTAAAGTTGATTTTCTGATTCTCTTCCAATTGATTGTTGATCGTTTCTTGATTCCAACGATTAACTTAATTATTTCATCTTTATTTCTATACGACTCTTTAAACAATCAACAGTTTCTGTTGATCGGTTTAACAATTAAATTAAATCATCAACCATTTTTCAAATTAATCTTTTCAATCTTAAATCATAAAGTTTACCGTTCCTGCTTTTGGTATATTATTTAAGATGAAGATGAAATCAGAATTGCAGAAAGTTAATTGTTAGTTTCTATTTAGTTGATTGTTATCATTTAAAGGAAAAATATTAAATGACATCGCCTTTTCTTGATTGTAATCATTAATCTAATTGCTACCTTTCACCTTAAAGTTAACAACACCAAGAGTAACAATTAACTGAGACCATTGAAAATGATGATGAGTGGAAATCATTGACTCCATTGATTAACTTTACTGTTGTTTGTTAATTTTTGATTAACCATAAATTGTTGCCCTTCCTTGATTGTTGTTGTGATGAATGTTTGACAATCAAACTGATATAACACAGTTTTAATTGTTTAGAATAGTTTTTCTATTTTGTGAAGATTAAATTGTTACAATAAAACTTGAAGAAAATTAAACTTTAATTTAGTTTGATTCTTAATTTACTCGATTTGTTTATATTGTTACTCATTTGAATACTTGTTCCTAGTTAATTGTAAATTCATCTTGATTAATCAAATGATCACAATTAAATATTATTAGTATCATGATTATGGTAATGATTGATAATGTTAACAATATTACATTTAATTGTTAACTAAAAATAACGGATACAATTAACTGAGATGATGATTGAGTTTCTCTTGTTATTAATAAATTGTTAGACTTGATTGTTGCTTAATCATCATCTTTTATCACACTTAAAAGGATCACAATTAAATCTGTGATTAAGTCTAAGGTCAATTTCGTTATGTTAATTAACTTGAGCTAAAAATGATTATCATGATTAAGATTATGGATCAACAATAGGTTAATCACTAAGTAATAAAACCAGTGATTAAATTTGATTTAGTTTACGAAATAATTTAAACCATTGACCCCATACCAAGGAGACAATATGATTTTAATCATGATAATGATTAACGTTTGATGATTTAATAGCGTGCTGAGGCTTAAACCTGATCAGTTACAATTTAACATGGTCACAATTAACTAAATCAAACCAACAGAATCAATCGTAACCATTGAAAATCAATGTAAAAGGTTATCAAGCTCAATCACTTAATCAAGATTTAAACTTGAACCACTCCTGATTTTGTTAATCAACAATTTAACCTCTTTGATGATTAAAATTGATTTTCCCAAACTAATCCAGTTGATTTTTGTTTTGGTTATTAATTATTTAATTGTTCACTCCAATGACAACCAATAAACCAATGGTTAACAATTTAATCATTAGAATTACAATTTGATTTTGAAAAAAAAGTTTTTCTCCTCTTCCTGATTGTTTGAACACAATTTTGATGATCTTGATTAACAATCAATTTATAATCAATTGATTAAAAGTTTGATGATCAACTTGATTGTTACAAATTCAATGTTAAATATAAATCATAATGATAAATATCATCAATCAGTGAACCTTATCAATCTTAATTGATTAGTTAATTTAGGTTTTGTTGTCAATTGGTTTTAATCACCACAACAATAATCCTCTCAATCTAATTGTGATCAAAAGGTTAATCAAGCTTACAATTTAATCGTAATCAACAATCAAACCTAAATGATAACCATCATCAGTTTATTTATGGTTAAATAAACCAGGTAACTACAACAATTTAACAAGATTAATTGTTGATTATCTTGAAAATCTTAACACAACATAATCTAAATTCAGTAGATGAAATAAAAAGAGACTCGATTATGATTAAAATTAACTTTTTAATTTCTCACACTTTATCAAGATCAAAGATTAAGCAATTAAATAATCATCTCACGTTGTTGTTAATTGTAGTTAGATTTGCAAGACAATTTAAAATTAAGTTAATTGTTGTAAAGTAAAAAAAAAACCGGAATCGTTTCTCATCATCTTAATGTCTTACAATCAATGGTAACTTTTTTGTTCATGTTTTGTTTTGTCAATCAAATTTAATTGCAATTTAAAAACTTTGTGAATAAATTGTCATCATGATTACTGTTATTGTCCACAATCAAAAATAGAGATTGAAAATTAACAATTTAAATTGTAACGATGATGTGATTACAATGAATTTAAGTTAATAGTTGATTGTTGGTTAAGATGAGAAGGAAAAAAATTTTTTCTTCCTCTTTTTCATTAATCAATTTACTTTTGTAACAATCAACTGGTTAAATTTAGTTTCTGATTTAATTCAATTCAAATTACTAATCAGGCTTCTGAATTTTCAATTGTCCAGTTAATTAGCTTTCTAATACTCTTTTATTATAATCAAAAGTAGGAGATGATAACAATTAAGCTTTGACGGTTTACGTTGAAATGATCAATTGTGAACTCTAATTGTAGACTTAATTGTTGTCCTTAATGATGTGATTACTGTTTATTAATGAATTAGAACGAGATTAAAGATTAGTCTACAATCAATTAATTGTTACTTATGGTTAGGTTTCCAATGTAATCCTTGTTTCCATCTGAAAGATTAGTTTAATTTAATTGTTTTAATTGAATTTACTGAAACTTAACAATCAGGAAACATGAAAACTAATCAGTTAAACAATTAAAGTAACCAAAGTAATCAACAATTTTTAAGGTATCGCGTTAATTGTAAGCTGATTGTTATTCAACCGAATCAAATGTTAATCAATTAGTTACACAGTTTGTTTAGCTTAATTGTTAAACCACAATTAAAAGTTAATAACGTTAACCATAACCACTGATAAAAAAAGTTAACAATTAACTAATTTGTAGGTAGCATAAGACAATAATCAATATCTATAAATTGTTAGAAGGCTATTTAGAAAGTGATTAGTTTTAATTGTAAACATTTTTAATGAATAACGATTTAAATTGTTATTTGATTAATTTTCCTTGTGTTTCAATTGAAAAACATGATTAAAATTTCAATGACAAATTTTAATGATTACATTTGTTAATCATGATTATTAAATTGCTTTAATAATCATCTTGACAGTTTCACTAATCATAATTGAGGAAATGTTGTTTAGTAAATTGAATAAAAACAATTATTCAATTCTAACAATTAAAATACAACGATAATTATTATTTTCAATGGTGTTAGAAAATTTAATCAACCAACTAAATTGTTGAAACTATTAATCAATCCTTTTCTGATTGTAATACAATTATTAATATGATTACATGGATCTTGATGGTTGACCTTAAATTGTTAATTGTTGTTCAATATTTTGAAAGGTTATGATGGTTAATCATATTGTTAACAATTAAATTGTCTAATTTTGTTGATTACTTTTTCATTAAATTATCGTTAATAATGATTGACCAAACAAGATAATTGCATTTAAACAGTTGCCAAGTTGTAATTACAATTTAAACACGAGTAACAATTGAGCTTTACGCTTTTTTGATTAGTCTAATTGTAAAGTGTGAAAAAGATCAAGTTAATTGTTGGAAGTAATTTAAAACCAAATTATAAATTCCAAAGGGAACACACAACAAATAATCAGTTAATTGTTAGTTAATTGTGTGATTTAGCAAATGAGACAAATTGTAGTTGTAATTTTTTGTTTTCTAATGAGAAAATATTAATTTATTACAATAAGAAACATTTAATTTTGTTCATTATTTAGAATCTAATATCAAATTAAATCAAAAAAAAATCTAACAATTACTTTATGTATTAAATAAAGTCTATTGGTGTAAATCAAATTTAAATTAAATATATATAAACATATATATAGCTTTTATATATATTTAAACAGAAACTTTTACAATTAAAAGTTTATGATTTAAGTTGGTTGTTGGGACAACAATCAACGAGTGTTAATTGTCGTGATAAGAGCAATATAGTCAAATGCACTGGGATTGAAATAACACTAGAAGCAAAAGGAAAGTGAATTAACTAATAACTTAATCTACATAATTAGTTAATTAGATGTGACAACGGTGTAAGAGGCTTCCTTGGAGGTCAATGGAATCCGTTTTCGGGCTTCATCTTCCGTTTCCCATAAGATCTTTTGTTGATGTTGACTAATTATATCGTGAACTCGATCAAATAACATTTTCTCAGTTAGAATACCATCGTAAGAAGCATAAGCTGAAGCCTGTGAGTGGAACGGGAAAAAGAAATTAAGAGAGAAAAAGTTAAAAATTTTGGTTGATAAAAGTGAGCAAATTTCCGTGTACAAATGATACGTGATTAATGTAAAAGTTAAGTGATCAAGTTAATTACCTGCCAGGCAACACCTAATTTAGATATTTCACGACCAGAAAGGCCATCGGTCATTGAAGCTATTTTAGAACACGAACTGGCGTAATCGAATTGGTCTACTTTTAGTCGTCTATTGGATAAGAAAAAAAAAGAAATTATTAGTTGATTAATTGTAAAAAAGAGTAAATTAAGGAAAAGAAATTGAACATTTTACCTCTTTCTTTGAGCGGCGGGTTGAAGTACAAATTTATCGAAATAAAGACGGACTAGTCTTTCACGTTCTTCTAATGTTGGTAATTGGAATTCAACTACTTCGTCGATACGATCGTTAACAGCCCAATCAAAATGTTCGGGTGTATTAGATGCTAAAACCATCATAAATTTAGATGACTGTTCACCGGTACGGTAAAGGAAAGCGTTCAAAGTGGCTCTCATATTTTCGGACATATTGATTGAACTTCGTTTACGGAGGAAGGCATCAGCCTCATCGACAAACAGTAAAAGTCCTCTTCGTGAAGTATTGGCCCAATTGAACACCTTATGAATGGCAGTAACACCTTCAGCACCCATGGGTGTAACATCACCACCACTTAGTATAGCATAATCCATACCCGAATGTTGAGCAAGTTTCCTGGCGAAAAGTGTTTTACCAGTACCAGGGGGTCCATAGAAAAGTATATTACGATAATAACCACGATTTCTTTTAGTATTTCGAGTGGCGATGGCAACATCACGTAGTCTCTCCTCTAGTGAGGGCCTTAAAATAACTCCTTTCAGGGCATCTTCCGGTTTACGACTAAGAACCATTCGTTTTGAACTATCGATTGGATGTCGAACCATATCCATCACATTTAACCTTGAGGTATCACGAACGAGGGAAGGTTTACCAATTCTCGATTCAATGGAACGACCAACAATACTAATACCATATTTGGCTGAATAAACACCGGCAGCAATTAAGGTTAAACTTGCGGCTGTTGATGTAACTCTATCCCAGTCTGAGATGAATCCTTTAAATCCTTCACCTAAAACTTGACCAGCGGTTCTAATTGACTCTAAAACGGTGACCCTTTGTTCAGCTGCTTTAACCCGAATCTGTTCAAGGTAAATATCACGATTCTCTCTTTCTACAACAGCTTTAGCCTTCATTTCAGCTTCTATTCTTTTGGTATCATTTTTAGTTCTAAGATCCATCTCATGTTCAATTGTTGCCTTTCTCATGGCTTCCTGTTTAGCCACTGATTCCTCTTGTCGACGGAGATTCTCTTCATTGGCTCGTTGTTGTTGAATCAATTGATCATCATATCGTTTCCTAGCCAATTGATCTTGATATTGAGCACGAGCTTGATGTTGCTTAGTCTCTTCAGCTAAAGTTTTCCTTCTCTCCTCATAATCAATTCGTTTCTGTTCAACTTTCGCTTGTTCCAATGCAGCCTCATACTCTTTAACCTTGGATTGAAGTTCCATTTGTTTAGTTGACTCTTGCATCTTAGACAATTCAAACGCCTGTTTAGCATGAGCTGATTTCTCTAATTCTTTGGCCGCTCTGGCAGCTCTTTCTAATCCAGTTGAATCGAAATTGTATCCCTTGGGAACAGAGAAACCTTTACCATCTTTACCATCCTTATCCCCACCGAGACCACCACTTCCCTCACCACCTCCACCAGCAACACCACCAGAAGGAAAACCTGGAGGAACATTTTGATCCGCGGAGGAAGATCTTGTACCAAATAACCAAGACATTTAAGTTGATATGGCACACAAACAGTTCACTTGTAATTAGAAATAAACAACAAAAATACAAAATAATCAACAAGGAAAAAAGTAACAACAATTTACCAAAAAGTAAAAATATCAATACAAACACGTGCTTAGGGTTAACCGCTTTGAGAAAAAATCACCGGCGAAAGTTACTCCATCTTTCGGTCATTTAAGTTTATTCTTTATTCTTTAAATTTTTTAGAAAATTAAACTTCTCTGATTAAATTAAATTTCGGGGATCATTTTGTGTGATGTAAGAGAAATTTACCTTTGAATTAATTGCAAAGAAATTCTTTGAAAAATTGACAGATTAACCAAATAATCGATTGGAAAACTAAATTAGAAATATAATGTTAAAGTTACATCATTTTTTCTCTTTCTTCTAATTGTTTGTTTGTGTTGATGTTTAATTTTGATTATTTCTCGATAATTAAAAGGAAGAGAAAAACAATTAACTTTCAAGAGAAAACATTGATTGTAAGAGAAGCAAAGGATAAGAAATCCTCTTTCTTTCATTTCTTTTTCTCTTTCATTTTCTCTTTCTTATATAATTAATTTCTCTCTCTTTGTAATCCTACTTATTGTTGATTGAGAGTCATTATTGTCTTGACCAAAACTCAAATGATTGTTAATGAATAAATATTAACAATGGTGATCAAAATCAACAGATTGATTGTTAATCATTTGAGTTTTGGTTAAGTTACTTGTAACTTAAATTTCTAATTTCTAATTTCTTGAATAATCTTGATTAATTTTGTGTCTTCCATCATGCCTGCTAAACGAATCGCCAATTCATCTCGAGCTGGTCTCGTCATGTCCGTTGGTCGTTTACATCGACTTCTTCGAACTGGTAATTATGCCGATCGAACCTCAATGAAAGCCTCCGTTTATCTTTCCTCCGTCTTGGAAACCATTGGGAATATCATTTTGACCGAAGCGGTCAAGGAATCTAAAGGTCATCGAATCAATCCTCAAGTACTTCATCACGCCATCAAGGGTCACGATGGCCTCAAAGATCTGTTCGCTCGTGCGACCTTCCGTGCCGGTGGTGTCATGCCAAACATTCACCCGAACCTTGAAGCTCCCCACAAGCCGAAAGGAGCGGCTTTCAAAGACGCCATTATCGTCGGTCATGAACCAACCGCTTCCACCAGTTCAGCACCCGAATGATTGATTGAATCTCTATTTCTCTCTGATTCTTAATGATTCAAAAACAAACCAAGATAAAAATAAAACAATGAATTGAGTTGAGTTGAATATTAATGAATTTTTTAAATTTCATTTCATTTTAATTGATGTCATTTTTTTTTATCTTCACTTCCTTGTTGGTTTTTTTAGATTAAGTTGATTATACAGCCAAAGACTTTGAGTTCACAACCACATGTTAAATCATTCACGCAATTAATGATAATCAAGTAAATATAACTTTTGATATCTAATCAGTTGACGATTTTAAGAGACTACATCAATTAAATAAGAGGACAATACTTATTTTCATATCTCTGGGCTAATAACTTAATCTACATAATTAGTTAATTAGATGTGACAACGGTGTAAGAGGCTTCCTTGGAGGTCAATGGAATCCGTTTTCGGGCTTCATCTTCCGTTTCCCATAAGATCTTTTGTTGATGTTGACTAATTATATCGTGAACTCGAATTAAATTTCGAGGATCATTTTGTATGATGTAAGAGAAATTTACCTTTTAATTAATTGCAAAGAAGTGAAAAATTAACCAAATAATCGATTGGAAAACTAAATTAGAAATATAATGTTAAAGTTATATCATTTTTTTTCTTTCTTTTAATTGTTTGTTTGTGTTGATGTTTAATTTTGATTATTTCTCGATAATTAAAAGGAAGAGAAAACATTGATTGCAATTGAATTGATAAGTTGATTGTTCTGTGGAATAATTAATGAGAGAATTTAGTTTGGAGAGAATAAAATATAATTCTATTGATATAATAAGAGAAGAAGAAAAATTTAGATGATAAACTTTTCAAAAGAACTAAAAGGTAAAAGGTGAAAGAGAAAAAGAATTTAGAATTTAAAATATTTCTTTTCTTTCCATTAGTCTTTCTTTCTTTCTCTCTCTCTCTCTCTCTCTCTACTATTATTATCCCCGTAGACTCTTTTTAGGTCAAAGGGCAAATATTTCTTCCCATAGGTCAGGTAAATGCGAAGAAACCAAAAGCCCAACCCATCAGGTCACTTCACCTTTACCTTTAAAACTTATCGGTTAGGAAAAATTTCTTCAAATTTCCTCATAAATAGAACATGAATTCCATTAGTAAGAATTAAATTAATTTTATAATTTTCCATAAGTGTCTTAATTAGTGATAAACAACAATTAATTGTAATTAAATTGTTTCAAAAAAAAAGAAAACAAAAACAATGGAAACTTTTTCATTTTCATTTGAAAAAAACAACAGAAATTCAAGATTACCTTTCATTACCTGTTACTTTTTAACTTCATCTTTTTTCATCCTCTTTTTTTTACCTAATTGTTTGTGTTTTAATTTAACTAATCCAACAACAATTAACTCAACAATTAGCTGTTCACCTTCTTGTATTAATGGAATTTGCCATAAATCAAACTGTTATTGTATTCCAGGATTCACAGGTAAGAGATTAGTGTTTCCTTTTTTAGATTTTCTTTGCAATTAAAAGCAAAGATCCTTTTGTTTATTGTTTATTTTTCTTCAATTTTCTCTTGACAATTTATTTGTATGTTTAATTTACTTGGAATTTTCTGTTTAATCAGGTAAACGATGCGAGAAACGGTGGGATGATTGTGTATCACAACCTTGTCAAAATGGCGGAACCTGTGAAGTTGATGGATCTCACTACAAGTGCCTATGTCCAGCGGGTTATACTGGACCTTTATGTGAAAAGGATATTGATGATTGTGCCTCTTCACCTTGTCTAAATAATGGTACATGTACTGATCTATTAAATGGTTTCACATGTTCATGTTTACCTGGCTACACAGGTAAACTTTGTCAATCAATGATTGACTATTGTGCTCCAAATCCATGTTTAAATGGAGCCTCGTGTTTTGTTTCCAATAAATATAATGTCTCATGTTTGTGTAATATTGGTAAGTTAATCAAGTCACTTTGTTAACTCGCAATTCTTGGATAATAATTATAATAACATTCTAATTGTAATTGTAATTCTTTGATTCTAATCAAGGTTTCACTGGTCAATTCTGTGAACATCAAGTTTGTGATCGGCATCATTGTAATGGTATTTGTCTGAATGATACTTGTTTCTGTAAACAAGGTTATAGTGGTAAGAATTTTTTTACAATTTGATCAATTTGATTAATTTTCGTGTACAATTAAAACTAAATTGCGATTGTTTCAATTTTCCCTTTTCAACAGGTCTTCATTGTCAAGAAGATATTGATGAATGTGCTTCCAATCCATGTGAAAATGGTGGTGCCTGTGAAAATCTAATCGATGAATTCAAGTGCCATTGTAAATTGGGCTTTGAGGGTAATCGATGTGAGGTCAATAAGAACGACTGTTTAACCCAAAACTGTGAAAACAATGGAACCTGTGTCGATGGCATTGCCGATTTTACCTGTTTATGTCCTCCTGGTTTCTCAGGTAAAACCTGTGAAATCAATATCGACGAATGTACCACCAATCCATGTGAAAACAATGGTACCTGTATCGATGGTATCGCTGATTATACCTGTTTATGTTCAACTGGATTTATTGGTAAAAATTGTGAAAACAATACAGATGAATGTGCATCTAACCCATGTCACAATGGAGGTACTTGTGTCGATGGTATCAATAGTTATACCTGTTTGTGTCCAACCGGATTTATTGGTGTTTATTGTGAAAATGAAACAAATGAATGTCAACCTAATCCTTGTTTCAATGGTGCAACATGTAAAGATTTACATAATGATTTCTTTTGTCACTGTCCACCCGGTTGGGATGGTAAAACTTGCTTCAATGATATAAATGAATGTCTATCTAATCCATGTCAAAATAATGGTACATGTAACAATTTACCCAATAATTATTCGTGTTCCTGTCCACTTGGTTATTCTGGAATTAATTGTCAAGACGATTTAGATGATTGTCAATCATCACCATGTTCCAATGGTGCTTCTTGTATCGATGGAATCGCCAATTTTACCTGTAATTGTTTAGATGGTTACTTTGGTTCTACCTGTGATCAAATTCACTCCTCATGTGATTCCTCACCCTGTCCATCTAATTGTAATTGTACATCAAATCAATCATCACCTCACCTTTATACTTGCCATTGTTCAGCTCTCTCTCAAGGTAAATTAATTTCTTCATTAACGATTGTCAATTGTAATTCATTGTAAAGTTAATTGTTTCCTTTTCTTCTAGATTTTACTCTTGCTTCCCTTGGATCTTGTAAAAAATATTTCAGTTCCTTCTTACTCACTAATCAAATTAATCCCTTCTTTCTGGCGATTACCAGTTTAATCTGTCTACTGGTCATCTTGACCTTTTTATTGACCTTTTTTCTTATTCGAAACATCAAAAAAGCTCGAGCCACCCGAGGTTCTTACTCACCTGCAACCAAAGAGCTGTTTGATTTGACACCAAGTGGAATCCTTAAGCCACCTCCGTCCGAGAGATTATTTTAATCCACTTGATTAATTTCCATCATCATTTAATTTAATCAAATAATTTTTTCTCTAGATATTATCATTTTTTCACATTGACATTGCTGTATAAAAAGCCTGTGATATAAAAACAATCAACAATCATGATCTTTATTAATTAGTTTCCCTTTTCATATTATTGAACTTGTTCAACTTTTTGAGGTGTCGAGGTAAATACAAAAACTAGATTAAATTATCAATATGATTGAATGACCAACAATTTTTAACATTGATTGAAAGATAGAGCATCATAAATCAATCAAATTGAATTAAGCTGAATCAATAAAGTTGGAAAAATATTTTAACAATTAATGAGGGAAAGAAAATTACCTCCTGATCCTTCAGCATCTTCATCATCGTCTTCGTCATCTTCTGTATCATCTTCATCAGGAATATTTGAATCGGGATTTCTATTCGGTGTAACTGATTGACTATGGTTTTCCTTTGGTCAAAGAGGACAATTTGCTGCAAATTATCAAAAGAATTGAGTAAAACTTGTATTCGATTAGCTCTAAGACGATTCACCTCATTCAGAGCCATTCGTGATTTACCATAAGAAGCACTGGCCTTGGTTAATGCGTTTAGAATATTTTCTTGAGCATTCATATTTTTTTCTAATAGATTAACAGTTTTATCATATTTGGCTAATTCTTTTTCGAATATACTTTCGATTTCGTCAGAATTTCCTACAGAATGAGAGGAATCTGAGAGGGAAAAGTTCAGTGAAGAGAAAGAAAAGGCAATTAGTGTTACAATTGTTAGAGAAAAAGGAAATCGTATGGAACAACTGAATTAAGAGAGACTTTGAGATGAATGGGGTAAATAATGGTACATGTACTGACCAATTTGTATTGACCACGTGTGGTTACACAGGTAAGCTTTGTCAATCAATGATTGACTATTGTGCTCCAAATCCATGTTTAAATGGTTGTTTCCAATAAATATAATGTCTCATGTTTTTGTAATATTGTCAAGTTAAATCATAATCAAAAGTGTCAACTTTTAGAAAGAGAGGTTCATCCTTCAAAGGAAGATCCTTCATTTCTTCCACTTTTCCAATAATTTCTCGACCTCTTTAATGTTGACCTCATCGAAGGGTATATCAGTGACCGGAGGTATCAGCAACTGGCCTTAAATTATCTTTATCCAATTGCAATGATGAAAGGTAAGTTAACAGTTCGACGTCCTTTTCTTCAACCTCACGTCTTACCTCCCTTAGAATTTTATCTTTATTCTCACTATAAATCGAGGCCATTTCATGAGCTTCGATTGGGACTAAACGGGCAAAAATATCTTTACCACAAACTTCCGGGTCGGAAACATTGAAACCAACACCAGTGGCCAAAGGAGCTCCTTTAACGGCAGTTAAATAGTTAAATATGTAGTGTCAACTTTTAGAAAGAGAAACCAAAGAATAAGAAATCCTCTTTCTTTTATTTCTTTTCCTTTTTCTCTTTCATTTTGTCTTACTTTTTCTCTATTAATTAATTTCTCTCTCTCTCTCTCTCTAATCCTACTAATTGTTGATTGAGATTATGAATGTTGATTTTGATCAACAACAACAATCAACCTGTTGATTGTTAATATTTATTTATTAACAATGGTGATCCAAATCAACAGGTTGATTGTCGTTGTTGATCAAAATCAACAAATTTTTTTTAATCATTTGAGTTTTGGTTAAGTTACTTGTAACTTAAATTTCTAATTTCTAATTTCTTGAATAATCTTGATTAATTTTGTGTCTTCCATCATGCCTGCTAAACGAATCGCCAATTCATCTCGAGCTGGTCTCGTCATGTCCGTTGGTCGTTTACATCGACTTCTTCGAACTGGTAATTATGCCGATCGAACCTCAATGAAAGCCTCCGTTTATCTTTCCTCCGTCTTGGAAACCATTGGGAATATCATTTTGACCGAAGCGGTCAAGGAATCTAAAGGTCATCGAATCAATCCTCAAGTACTTCATCACGCCATCAAGGGTCACGATGGCCTCAAAGATCTGTTCGCTCGTGCGACCTTCCGTGCCGGTGGTGTCATGCCAAACATTCACCCGAATCTTGAAGCTCCCCACAAGCCGAAAGGAGCGGCTTTCAAAGACGCCATTATCGTCGGTCATGAACCAACCGCTTCCACCAGTTCAGCACCCGAATGATTGATTGAATCTCTATTTCTCTCTGATTCTTAATGATTCAAAAACAAACCAAAAAAAATTTAATTAAACTGTTGAATGTTAATGAATTTTTTAAAATTTTATTTCATTTAAAAGCTTAAATGATGTCATTTTTTTCTCTTCACTTCCTTGTTGGTTTTTTAGATTAAGTTGGTTATATAAATGATACACTCTATATATAATTTATGTGCAATGAGCATCTTTTTGTTAAGCAATTCAGGGTCTGAGACAATTATTTACCTCTTTGAGGTAACTCTTTGTAAATATACACCTTTGCATGGTGGAGATGATGTTGACATAATTAGTTGATAGTATCATTATCATCTTGCCTTCAGTTAGAAGATACAAAGAATACAAATGAATAAAAAAATTTTGTGAATATGAGACAGAGTAGAAATAGGAAGAGAAAGAGTGAGAGAGAGAGATACATATATATAGTAAAGAGGGAGCCGTGAATAGTATTTTAAAAGCTACAAAAATTGATGAGTAACTTAAATATCCTTTTGTTTGTGAATGGTTGATCAATTCTTTACACGTTGAAGTATCCGATTGATTTATTTATTTCTCATTGATAACTTAATGAAATTCCCCTTCCTTTGTTTTCTCAATCCAAGAGACACAAGTCTCTTTCATTTGCTTCTTTTCTTTTCATGGATCGTAAAATTTGTTACTACTTCCTTTTCCGTAATGACTAATGACGGGCGATGTTAGACTTGGTTCACAGATATAGCTTCCTTCGTCCTTTTTCCGAGTTCGATAAATTATGAACATGGCTAATAATATGGCACACAATAGACTTACAACAATACCTCCAATTACAGCTGAGAAAGAAAAAAACAAAGACGCAATTAATATAATTATTGTTGAACAAATTTGTTGACAAATTAAAGTGATTGATTATTGAAGACATTTAAGTAAATTATTATATCTTCCGAAAAGGAAATTGATCCCATGATATAAAATTGTAGTTTGACAAGGACAAATTGACTGATAAAATTTACATAATTCACAATTATGTCAATGGTGTTTCTAATAGCTATCGATTGAATTACTTTGTATATAATATAAATGATTAAATCACTGAAGTGTATAAAATACTTGAATCAACTGATTACTCGATAAAAACATGAATAAGATTGTGAAAAATGTTTAGATGTAAAATGAAACAATTCAATAACAATATGTTTCTTGTAATGTTGATAAAAGAGTTATTTTTCCTATGGGAATATTATCATTATCATGATTCATGAACCATGAGATATTTGGTTTTGAGTTCATGTATCAATATAAGAGGGAGAGATGTTGAATAGAAATCGTGAGTTACTGTTCTTTATATTGTGTTCAGATAGTTTTGATTTCCAGGGTAATCAAAATTACACACCAATCTTTTTATTGCACTATTTAAATGGATACAAACATATCCCGTTCCAGAATTGAGAGATAAATTTCAGATAACACCCTGAAAAAGTTCAGCTTTTAACAGATAATCTTTTAATCGTTTCAATTTTTTCATCTCCATCATCAGTCCTCTTCAATTAATTTCACCAATCTACTTTCTTCTGTTTCCAATCTATCCTGATCTTACTTTTCATCACAACAGTTAAAAGGAAATTAAGGAAAACCTTAAATTATGATAAAGAATAGATAAATGTTGGTAAACTAGTTTGAAATTGATTCTATTCAATCAAAAGTATGTCTTTCTCTATAAAAAGTTAATTGTTGATTGATTGGGAAATTAAAAGGTTATCATGCAAAATCTAATTTCTCAATTTATGGTTTAGCAATTAAAATAAAGGCAAATTGAATCAACACTAACATAAATATGAATTCTTTTTCATTTCAATCAACATATTGCCCTTTATCATTTCAATCTAAGAGACTGAGTTTGAGAAAATTAGGATGAGGGGGATGATGATGATGATAAGAAAATAAAGAGAAGATAATCTTCATCACTATCACCCACCTCTGAAACGGAATGGTAAATGTCATCATGATGTTAGGTTGAAACTTAAATTTCATTCCATTTTAAAGCTTGTATTTTTTCACTAAAGAAACAGAATATAAAAGATCTGACTCAAAATGATAGTTAAATTGTTGTAGGCTCTCATTCAGTAATCATCATTAAGATGAGGATGATTTTAGTTTCTGTTTCATGTTCATCATTATGACTCGTTAAATTTTTTTCTCTCTTCGTTTTATCCTTGGTACAGGGAAAACGAGTCTCACTCTTTTTTTACCAATCGGGTACAAATGCCTAATGAAAGATATCCTGCTGATCGGGTAAGGTCATTTTAACGGACAACCAACTGTTTTCTTTTACTTTCTTTATCTTGATATGACCATAATAAGGTACCGGTCATTAAGGGTAACAAATTTAAACTATTATTGTCAGAAAAGTGGACTGATTGGAGAGAGAGAGAGAGAGAGAGAGAGAGAGAGAGAGAGAGAGAGCTAGAGGTCCTACATGGAGAAAAACTGATTTAAGGCTCTCTAATTTGACTGTAAACAAAAAAATGTACATCAAAGGTCAGTTTAACTACAAGAATATGTATTATGGTCAACCACATAGGGTCACACTAACAACATCAACAACATGGGCCGATATGATCGGAATGGAAATGATTATGAAGATTAGGATGAGAAAAGATGAAGATGAGTAAATGATGTAAACAAAAAATTAAGAATCTGATTGATGAAGATTGTTTTTCTAAGTTAGTAAGATTAACAAGAAGGAGAGAAAGAGAAAGAGAATAAAATTGAAATACTAATTTCTCAATTGGTTTTTCTTTTTGGTGAACTACAGTCTACTAAGAAAAACAGGAAGGACATGAGGATGAGAAAAAAGATGCGAGTACCATAGATAAAAAAGAAAACAGAGATCAAAGGAAAAAAAATATCATCTAAAGAGAATCAAACTGAATAGAACAAAGGAAACTTTTGATAGGATGTTATTAGAAAGATGATATTGACGAATAAAGGAAAAGAGGCAGAGAGGTGCAATCAATTGATTCAATTTGAAAAACTATCACCAAGTCAAGGGTGTTGTTTAATTTGGAGAAAAAAATCATCGAATAAACCGACAAGACTTGAATGGGAATCATCTTCTCATCTTTTTTAACATTAACTGTAAAAAAGATAAACTGAAGATGTGAATATCTTACCACTCGACTTTTTTTCCCCAATGAACAAGAACTTTGGAATAACTGAGATAGAGAGAAAGAGAATATTTTCTAAAAGCCTCTTACATTGATAATATTCTCTTTCTAACTGTAATTGAGAATAATTTGCTTTCTACTTTCATCATCTGTTCATGAAAGTAAATATTTACCTTCAAACTACTTGAAATTGATTGAACACAATTAACAGGTTTTAGAAATCTAGGTAAACTCAAAATTAAAATAAAATTCTATAACGTGTGTGTGTGTGTGGATCAATTCATTTAAGGCTAATATGTTTGGCTGAGTAAATGAGATGAATAACAAAAAAGTGATATCATACCTGCTAACATGGTAGGTTGGGCAAATAATGAAACAGGTCTTGTATCTTGTTTACGTCCCAATATTGAAATATCATTTCTGAGAGTATTTTCATCTTGATCATGATCATCATCTTCATTATCATGAGAATCATCTAAATCATCGTTATCTTCTTGATCTTCATCGTGGTCAGTGTCGTCAACATTTGGTTTAGTTTGTTTTGTTGAGGTTTCAACGGGAATACCAGGGGAAAAGTTATCAGTAGGTTTGCCACTTCCATCGATAATAATATCTTTGGTATCTTCAGATGAATCTGTAAGAATATCCTGAAATAGAGAGAAACAAAAAAAAGATAAATAATATATATTAAATTAACTATCTTTTAAAAGAAGTTTATTTAGAGTAGATAAGATAATCGTCTCTATTAATTTAATTAAATCTATGTATATACACAACTTACCGTTGTATCTGGTTTATTGCCTGTTGGCATTTTATCGTAATTATCGTCATCGATGATGGTTTCTTTGGGAATATTGAATCCTCCTGCAGAATGAGAGGAATCTGAGAGGGAAAAGTTCAGTGAAGAGAAGAGAAAGAAAAGACAATTAGTGTTACAATTGTTAGAGAAAAAGGAAATCGTATGGAACAACTGAATTAAAAGAGAAACTTTGAGATGAATGGGGTAAATTTGCTGAGAACATGAAAATTTTCTATTTCTTCATAACATAAACTATGTATTACATCAGTTCCCTTGAAAGATCATTAAAAATCATGATCACTCAACTATTGAAGGAGAAAAAGAGAGAGAGAGGAAATATAAACTGAAAGAGATTTAAAGACAGTGAGAATAAAATAAGAAAAACTCATTAATGCATAGCAAGAGAAGAAAAAAAATACTAAAGCTAATCCAATATGTCCAAAGGTTATCATCTTTTGTTTCCTTGATACAAAAACTAGATTAAATTATCAATATGATTGAATGACCAACAATTTTTAACATTGATTGAAAGATAGAGCATCATAAATCAATCAAATTGAATTAAGCTGAATCAATAAAGTTGGGAAAAAATTGCAACAATTAATGAGGGAAAGAAAATTACCTCCTGATCCTTCAGCATCTTCATCATCGTCTTCGTCATCTTCTGTATCATCTTCATCATCTTCATCAGGAATATTTGAATCGGGATTTCTATTCGGTGTAACTGATTGACTATGGTCAGGGTTAGTGAAGACAATGTCTTCGGTTTTATCCTTGTTAACATGAAGTTCTGATGGGCCATCACCTGAATGGTCAGAGCCTTTAAATTCTGTGAAAAAATCTTCATCGTCACTCGTCGTGATTTCATTAGCTGGTACACCACTTCCTTCATTACCTTTAGAAGGTAAAACTTGATCTTTGTGTTTATTTAAGTTACCGTTGAGATTAAGATTAGCATCTTTGTTGTTTTTGTTATTACTATTGTTATCAATAGGTAAAGCACAAGATGATATGGAAAATAGTGAGAATAAAATAAAGTTCCAAATCAATAGGAATATGAGCCACATGGTTTTTCCTTTGAACACTGGTCAAAGAGGACAATTTGCTGTCCTCTTGTTACACTTAAAGGAGGAGAAGAAGAAAAAAAGTAACACAAGATGAAGAAAGTGAAAGAGAAACAGTTACAAAACTAGAGGTAGGGTTGGGTTACTGGAAATAAACACAACCATTGGCACATAGCACCTCACTGATATCGAATTAGTTTTTTTGTTGCTTGATGAAAAACACTAACCGATTAGAATATGATGATTAATAAGAAGGAGAAAAAAGTTGCTTTTAAATTATGAAAAGAGATCCAAGGATATATAAAAATAGATGAAGAGTGATCAATGGTTTGAATATTTATATCAAAGTGTAGATTGAATTTGATGTGTGTGTTTTCTGTGTGTGTACTATAATGTACTTGGTGGTTCCATTGTGTATAAGAATAACTTTCCAAGAAAATGAACCAAAAAACTAGGAATTAATATTTAGACAGGCAGCAGAATTTTTTGATATGAACCAATTGATGTAAGTTTATGGTTATGAAAGAACATGTTTCCCAAAAGAAACAAAACTTGAAGAAGAAACAAAGGGAAAAATAGTTCCAAAGTAGAAAAAGGGAGAAAACACACAGTTCGATTGAGAGAATAATTTATCACTGAAAATCCATGATGAAGAGAACTGTTCCCAATTGTTGTCGGCTCTCAGAAGAAGAAGAATTATAAAATAAACAGAGAGAGAGAAAGAGAGGAAAAAAAAGAGAAGAGAAAAATGAGAACAAGAGAGATAGAAAAGAACAAGATGAAGAATCAACTGAAAAGAAAAAGAATGAGTAATAATATAAAAGAGAATAGAAAACTTTTCACTTATTTAGAATTTAGAGCTTTTTCTTAATTGTTCATGATGATCACAGGGTAGAAAATATTAATCAAAATACAGTAATTTAGGTGATACAAATTGTATTTAGAAAATTGGATAAAAAAAGGCAACTGATTGTTGTTCCAAAAAGAGAGTAATTATTTTTTTCTCTCTCTCTTTGTCATATGACTGAGAACACGAAAGATAAAAGCATTTTATAGATTCTATTCACTAGAACCCACACTAAAAATGAAGATTTAATTTTCTAATTAAACTTATCATTAACCTAATCATTGAGAGCGATTTGATCAAAATAATTAAACTCGTTAATTAATTGACGAGAAAGTTGAATAGAGTTAATTGATTATTAGAATTCTTTTGTTTAATTAGAATTGAAAAGAGAAGAAAATTAAAAATTTTTTTCATTCGAATATCGAATTGGATCTATTCTTATGGATCGGATATTCGGGATCTCTCTGGATTCTCATTTTTCCAGAGTTTTGTTTTAATTGTCAACAAATTTTGTTCCTAATTAATTGTTCACCTTTTCAACGTTACCTGTTTTGTTGTTGATTAATTGTTTATCTTAGTAATTATGAAGGAATATCCTCGACTTCCTATGCTTTACTTTGAATTTAAACTCAGTCATGGAGCATCTGAATTTGCGGTTCCAATTAAAAAGGTTTGATTTTTATTCTGTTTTGACAGTTAATTTTTCTTTCTGTCATTTTATCTGATTGTGATTACCTTGATTTTTTTTCTCCCTTTAATTTATCAATTCTATTATAGTTCATCCGTGAATATTATGGGGACGATGGAGAAAAATATAATAAAGAAATCAAAGAGATGGAAGCTTTGAGAAATGTAAGTGTTTGTTATTATTTTTTTTCTATTCTCTTTTCTCTCTATTATTGGAGATTAATTGTTTACTTTTTTTCCTATTCTATTCTTTACTCAGGCTGCTCTTCGTCCTTCTCGTGATATGACAGGTTGTCTCACTCTGAAAAGGTATTACTCTCAACTGTATACACTTTACAATAAGGTGAAAATAATGAAAGGTGATATGTCAATTACGTTTACCTGGCAAGATGTTTATTCTGGTAATCCGGTGACCGGTGATATTCAATTTGAATTAGATGCAACCATGTACAATATTGGTGCTCTTCATGCTGAACTTGGAGCCCTTAATATGAGAGATAATGCTGAAAGTTTAAGAATTGCCTGTACCCATTTTCAGTGTTCAGTTTGGGCATTTGAACAGCTTAAAGATCATCCACAGAATAAATCAAAAGACATGTCACATGATATAATATCTTTCATCTATCAAACTGTTATGGCTCAGGCTCAAGAATGTATACTTGAAAAGTCAATTATGGACAATAGGAAAAATTCAATTATCTCTCGTGTAGCTGCCCAAGTGGTTGAATATTATAACAGTGCTCTTAGTGTTCTCATTCAATCTTCATTAAATTCTGACATGGACATTGGTGAGATTGTTGGTTCCAAATTGTTTAAAGAGTGGAAAAAATTTACAGAATTTAAAGTTTCCTATTATACTGCTGTTTGTGCCCTTTACATGGGTGATTCTTGTGGGGAACAGACAAAAACTGGTGAACAAATTGCTTGGTATCTATTAGGAAATCAGCATCTTGACCAAGCAGAAAAATTATCAAAATCAATTGGTAAAATTGAGATTAGTTTACTTTCCAAAGCTTTAACTGTTAAAAGAGAAACAGCCGAGAGAGACAATGATTTCGTTTATCATCAACCAATTCCATCTACTGATAAACTAACTGCCGTTAAAGGAGCTCCTTTGGCCACTGGTGTTGGTTTCAATGTTTCCGACCCGGAAGTTTGTGGTAAAGACATTTTTGCCCGTTTAGTCCCAATCGAAGCTCATGAAATGGCCTCGATTTATAGTGAGAATAAAGATAAAATTCTAAGGGAGGTAAGACGTGAGGTTGAAGAAAAGGACGTCGAACTGTTAACTTACCTTTCATCATTGCAATTGGATAAAGATAATTTAAGGCCAGTTGCTGATACAATTCCCGATGAACTTATTGAAATTTGTGCCGAACTTAGTGTTAAACCTTCAATTTGCCGAGAGACTCTTAAAGAGATGGAAGAATTGAAGAATTTAGCTTCTGAAGCTGAGCATAACATCCAAGAGGCGACAATTATTATTGAAGAAGAAGATGAAAAGGAAAGGAAACATCAAGATAAATTTGGTAAACGAGCTCCGTCCATGATAATTGTTGAATTAGGAAAAGAATTGAGAAAACACGAAGAAACTCAGAGAAAAGGTTCAACTTCAAATCAAAATCTATCCCAAGCACTGGAAAAATTTTCTAAAGATATTCAACTATTAATCGATTGTTCGGCAAAAGATTTGGAAAGACTTTTACCTCCAGTTACAGATATACCCTTCGATGAGGCCAACATCAAAGAGATCGAGAAATTATTGGACAAAGTGCAAGAAATGAAGGATCAACGTGAATCCCTTGAGAATCAACTTCGAGAAGAAATTCAAAATGATGATGTTCTTAAACATGTGATTGCTCATTCAAAAGACGAAATCGAAAGTATATTCGAAAAAGAATTAGCCAAATATGATAAAACTGTTAATCTATTAGAAAAAAATATGAATGCTCAAGAAAATATTCTAAACGCATTAACCAAGGCCAGTGCTTCTTATGGTAAATCACGAATGGCTCTGAATGAGGTGAATCGTCTTAGAGCTAATCGAATACAAGTTTTACTCAATTCTTTTGATAATTTTATGAAAGTAAAGGATAACATTTTAAAAGGAATTGAATTTTATAAAGAGTTTACGACAACCACCAGTAAATTGTTGGCCCGATTAAAAAGTGTCACAAAAGTTCAAGACGAGGAAAGATCACAGTTCGTCGAAGGTCAGATAAAAAGGAAACATTCAACATTGGATCTCTTTCTCTGTCAAAGAGATTATCTCATGAAGTATCATCTCCACATCCTCAATTGCCACCGACCAATGGTACACCCAAGTTGAAAGATTTTCTACCCTACATGAATTTACGAAATAATCCAAGTCCGGCTTCTTATAGTAGCCCTTCTGGTGTTTATCCGCCGAGTAACAATCAAATGCAAGGACAATATTCGCTTCCACCAAACACTGGATATCCAAACCCAGTCCATGTCCCACAAATTGTTCCCCAGGCTCAACATCAACCTCAAATTTCTCATGTGCCTCAAGTTCAACAAATTCACCAACCTCCGATTCCACAAATGGGCCAAGTTGCACGAGCTCAACAGATACCACAAGAGTCACAAATTCTGCATCATCACCAACCTCAACCCCCGACGCCTCAACAAGTTCCTCAAGTTTCACAGCAACACCAAACTCCACATTTTAATTACCAACAAACATATCCAACAAATCAAGGCAATACAATGACCAATTATCAGAATTATTATTATCCAACGGCATCCACACAACCAACTCCAAACCTTCCTTCAATCGCTCAACAACCACCGCAACAACAACAGCAACAACAGTTTCATCATCAACCAGTGCAACAACAATATCAGATCTCATCTCAATCTTATTATCCGGAAGCTTATACAAACCAAACTGATCCTATGGTTAATTATCAGAATCAAAATTACTATCAAGATTATTACCAACAACCCCAACAACAACCACAACCACAACCACAACCACATCAACACCCACAGCCACAGCAGCAATTACAACAACATCCTCAATCACATTTGAATCAACAATTTCAGACAAACACACAGTCACTTATTCATCAACAGCAATTACAGCCCCAAACACAAACATACCCACAGCCACCACCTCAACCCCAACCCCAGCCTCCTCTTCATCCACAGCAACAATTACAACAACCCAAACCCAACCACAAACATATCCACAATCACAACCTCAACCACAACCACAACCTCAACTCCAACCCCAACCACAGCTTCAGCAGCCCCTTCAACCACAACCACAAACGCAATTAGCTCAACAACCACAATTACAACCCAACACTCAGACACAATCATCATACCCTCAACCAGATTCACAATTAACTTCACAAACAGATTATATGATAAACAATCAACAATCTGAACCTACTAAGAACAATAATAACACCGAGCAATCAAACGCTAATCAAGATTTACTTTCCCAGTTTGATCCACTTTGGGCATAAATAAACACCTTATTATTATCTAACTTGACTGATTAAATTGCCTTTAATTATCAACAATTAAAGCTGAAAAAAAAGTCAACCAATTTATATATATATTATTAATTAATTTTTCAAGTTACTTTAATTTATTATTAATTATATCAATACAAATTGATTCGTGATGAATGAAACAAGTCAACCATTTAAATCTAAATCCAATCCATCAACAACTGAATGAAAGACGATAATTAACCAATTTTAATTAAAAAGTAAATCAACTTTATTGTAATCAAATTAGTTATGTACAATCAAAATGATCTTTGTAATAAGTCCGAACGATGGATAACCAAATGTCCAATAACCATGTGTATAAAAAAAAGTTATTACAATTTACGATCCGACAATTGGTTATACTTTAATTGTCTACTCTTTTCTCGTATAACAATTAGTTTAATCATCTAAAGTAATTTAAATTAAAGATTAAATTTCATCAGGTAAACCATATTTCTCAATGAATCGATCCCGTTCAGTTAAATACATTTTGAATCGCAGGTAAGGGTAACTCTGTTTACGATTAGATAAAATTTTTAATTGTGATTAAATGGTTTCCAATTAAAAATCATGAGTTTGTCAATATCAAATGACAATTAACAACATGTGTTAATTGATCAGTTAATCGTCATAACTCTTTCCAAGTTTACAATCAATGGGAATTACACTGAATCATGATTATCCCTTTTGATTGTAATTAGATTTGAATAATTTTCATGTGATCAAAATTTTCGGGAATAAATAATCAATACTTACTTTAGGCCATTCTAATTTGCTTTCGATCTTGCGATCGTTAATTGCCCAGCCGAATAGGAATAGATGAGTATACAGACTGGCCAATTCGACTTCTTTAATTAATTGTTCGACATTATCAACAACCGGATCAAAATTTGGATCACATTCTGATGAGAATGAGAGATAATCTTTGACAAAAGTTTCCATTTCACGGAAATCAGGAAATTTGATATTCTTTCCATCAACTTCACCTTCACATGGATGATGATAGCGGAAATTAAGATAATAGGCTAAATCGTAGCCTCTCCATCCATAAGAACCAAGTTCGAAGTCGATTGGAATCATTTTGTTTGACCAAACGGAATAATCGTCGGAATCATATTTGTCTCGCAATCGGTTGCCCTCTGAATCGTGTGTACGGAAAAGGATATTGTAAAGATGAAGATCATTATGACAGAAAACCGATTTAGCACCAATGTCAATCGAAGTTTTATCCAACCAGGCCAATTGTTTTAGAAAAGGAAAAGCGTCAATCTCATCGGCGATCTTGGTGTATTCTTCAGAGTAATGGGTTATAAAGTCACCTTCTTTCGTGGCTCTTTCAGCCATAAGGCCATGGAAAAGATTCTGATAGAAAATGTGTTTTCGAGTTATCGGTAATTCCAATGAGTGAATACGAGCGAAAATCGAAGCCATCACTTTGTTGATTATTCTTTTCCCCAAATACTTGTAATCAGGTCGAATATTCTTGTGAATGAGAAAAGGAAATTCGTTTCAATTACAAACGAAATAATTAATGATCGTTAATCTTACTGGGATAAATTCCTCGATTCTTCCTTTGGTAAAAACACCCAACAATTTAGGTCCAAGTCCAATATTCGCAAGAATATTAAAGATAATTATCTCTGCATCATCACCGAGCAATCGAGGATCATCAATATTTTGTAAAATCGCACTTCCGTAAAGTCGTACGATCACTTGACAAGGTTCACTTCCGATCATCTTTGGTAATAAATCAGGTAGTAAACTAACAAGATACACTCGATTGGCGATTCCACCTCTGTGATTATTGGAAAAACAGTCAACAATTAACGATGAATTTTGACACAATCAAAGAGCAATTCAACTCACGAGCATTTTGAAACAACTAAATTGTCTCTGGTTACGGTTCTCCAAATTCCCGGTAAAATATCAACACAAACCTCTTCGACTTTTGCTAATTCCTCTTCGGGAAAAGGTCCATTTTCATCAAACATGATCACTAATTACATAGAAATTAGCGAGAAAATAAATTCTGAAACTTGATTCAATTCCGAGAATCAAGTTAAATGGTTGTGATTGAAGACGAATTGAATCAAACTAATCAAATAGCTTTTAATAGAATTGATTGAATAACAACAACACTAAAATTGAACTGAACAACAATTGAAGTGACAATGAACGAGATAATTGTGAAACTAATTGCTAGTGTTAATCAGCGCCTTCTATTGTAATCAATTTAATCGCGATTGATATAAATCAACAATCAAAACAGTTAATCAAAAGTTATCAACATTAATTACTAGAGAAAAGTCAACTAATTTTGTCTCAATTGATGAAAGCGTAAAGATATTAGCAAACAATCAATTATATTTGTTAATTGTCCAAACAATTTAAATGAAAACCTCTTGTACATTTGATTTTGAGAGGTTGATCAATAGTTTACATAGGAAGTTAATCATTTCTGTGATTAAAATATAATCAATTGTAGTTAAATCACTTAACATCTATTAACTAAATCAACTGGTTGTAATTGGTTACATGACTTTAATTTTTTCCCCAATTATCAATAATCAATCAATTGATTAGGATAATATTTGATTGATTAAATCGTTGGATCTAAATTGTTAATCCAAAGATTAATTACAAAATTAAAGTTAAACTGATAATCATTAAACACTAATATTAATGAAGATGATTGTTTTTGTTTTCTTAATTGTTTTAGATGATTATCATTTCTTGTTGAGTAGTTAACAGTTAATTGCTACTCAACTATCAACTATAATGATTATTAGTTAATTGTGATAATATTATTTTATCATGTTCACCTTTGTAAACAAATTGTATCATAAATTGTTTAGCCATTAACACATAGAAATTAATTGTTGTTTAATTATCCTTTTGCATTTAGTTTATTAACAACGTTTAATTTACATGTAAACAATTACAACTGATTAAGTGATTAATATGATGATGGAAATTCAATTGTGATTAAGATAATTGTTATAGTGATCTAGAGGCAGTGTGATCAATAGTTAACATGATGATTAGTTAATTAGCTTTGAAATAATAAGTCTGAACGGGAGTCCGATTTTTATTATTTACTTTGTAAGTTCCTTTAGGATTGTAATTGTTTGGGTGATTAATTGATGATTTAAGTTGATTTAATTCGGGCCAATAAGATGATCCTCTTGATAGTAACAGATTAAGATTATTATCAAGAGCCAATGATGAACCTTTTCGCTCTTGAATTGGTGATAATCCTCTCGATTTGTGGTCATTTGTTTGGTCAACTTTGTATTGATTGTCCATTAGATTGTTAACCGACCCGAGGTGACCTTTTCTTAATGTAACTCGATTCAAGGAATCTCGATAATTAGGCTTAATTGGAATATAATTGTTGTTATAATCGCGAGAATATGAATCATCTTTCGATCGATTTCCGTTAAATGATCTGTCGATTTTAGTTAATCCATCTGATCGTAAGTTAATTGTGCTTCGCCAATTAGACAATGAACCATAATCTCGAGTCTGTGAAGGAAATTGAAACAATTATCTTAATGATTTTATCGACAATTTAAATATTTTCTTCGATTTTCTTCAGATCGAACAATTAATTGTTACCTGAAACAGATCAGTTCGTGATGATCGATCAAATAATTTATCAAATGTCCCGTTCACTATCCGTTGATCACTAAGACAATTAAGTGATCTGGAAAATTTTTCATCATCATTATAATCATGATTGACTGGTGAATTTAATTTCTCAATCAAATATCCTTGATTAATTGACTTGGATCCATGTAAATCATCAACAGGTAATCGATAATAATTGAGATTATCTTTATGATTAACAACAGTTGAACTTAATTCTTGATTAACTGGAAAATCTGATTGAACAGGTTCACCAAAATAGTAAGTCTTAATTGGCCTTGGACGATTTAAATTGTTGTTGTTTAAATCCTTAAATCCATTGTTGTCTAAATTAATTGATTGTTTTCCATAATTAGTATTCTCCTTAAAATGATCATGATCAATTTCCTGCAATTAAACAAAGTAAAAACAAAAGAGAGATCAACAATTAGCAAGAAATTCAAACAAAAAGTCACAATCAACCAAAACAATCAATCAACAATTAGGTTTGGGTTGATTAACTCATAATATTTGATTAACAAAAAAAAACAACACCAAACTAAGTTGATTAGTTAATTTTTCTCCTCTTATCTTAATTATTACAATTGAATTAATTTCACAACTAAATTCAAATGATAACCTAATAGATAACACATTTTAAGATTAACAATTAACAATATTATTAATCAGTGAAGGAATCAAATCCTTATGGTGATTAGCAATTAACTTTTTTTTTTGAGGAAAAGGATAAAAGTGAAAGTTAATCACGAACAAATTAAATAACATTTACTTTCGTGATTTTTCAATTAATTGTTAATAATAATAGTTTTCTGTTTAAATTAAATTGCTATTCAAATGGTATTCACGTTCTGGATGTTATTATAATTAATAACAATTAAAACAAGTAAATGATAATAACCATTGTTAACCAAAATTCAACCTTCTATATGATTGTTAACCATTTTCTTAATTAAATGTCTCTCAGTTGATTCTAATAATTAACAAGTAACCATAGCAATTAATCAAATCCTTATTAATAGTGTTCTGTTTTTCCAGCAATCAAATTTGATTTAATTAAATCTGATCACTTGGAAATCACAAGAAACGTAACAATTAAAATCGTAACAACAATTCAATCATTTTGTTAGCAAGTTGTTGGTGTAAATGGAAATGTAATTTTTCAATTGTTATTAAATTTAATTGTTTGAAAATATTGAATTTCTTGTAACAATCAAGGTTTTTCAAGAAAGAATCAGTTATCACTATGATTAATTTATGATTCGTTAACCATAACGTTAATTGTGATGAAGAAAAAAAAACAACAACAACATAATCAACAGATCTAAATGATTTAATTTAATTGTGACCCTGGATTTTGAAAAAAAAAAGATGAATAAGTTATAATAACAATTAGTTAATACAATTAAGAGAAACATGTAACTCGAATCACAATTAAGTTTTTCTCTCAATCATTAATTCTGATTGGAATTAGAATTGAAACTATTTTCATGTAACCTGATTAAGTGTTAATTGTTACTGTTATTTTGATAATTTTATGCTTACATTATGAGAATTAGTAAATTTAGTTAACTTGATTAAACAACATTTAGCCAGAAATGGTGATTACTTGATTAAGGTTAAGGTGATGATTAATAAACAGTAGGTTGGTTAATCATTACAATTTTAGTTCAGTGATTAAGGTAAAAAATGAAATTGTTGTTTATTCATAATCTCTGGATCTAAATTGTATTGATTAGTTAACTACTTGATTAGAATATAAATTAAATCAATCTCAATTCTAAATATTGATTGATTTTGTTGAGTTAAATTGTGATTAATGATTCCAATTGTAATGGCTGATTGCCTCTCAATAATGGTCAATTGTTGATAAAATAATTCATCGTAATCATAAATGATAATCAAGTAAATCAATTGATTTAGTTCAATTGAAATCGGAAAAGGAGGATGAAGAGTAAAGTTATCAATATGAAAACAATTGAAAAATTGAACTGATTCAGTTTTGATTATGATTATAATGTTTACCGTTATTATTGTGAAGTAATTTCATTTTTTTTTATTAATCATCTTAAATCATCAATATTTGATTAGAGCTGATTGAGTGGATTAGGTTTGAAGGTTATTCTGTTGATCAGAACTTTTTTTCATCATGTTTTTCACATGAAAAATATTATTATATCAACGGGACAAAAAAGGTCAACGTCAATTGTGATTACAATTACGTTCAACTGTTTAATTGATTAACATTGATTAAGATTAATTGACTAACCTCATCTGATAATGACGCTTGAACTGAAGCATCTTCCTTAGGGACACGATGTTTAACTTTTATTATCAAGTTTCGACTATTATTATTGTGACCATTTGAATTGATTGTTGATTTAACTGGTTTACAATTAGCAAGATGATAGGATGATGATGATGATGATGAAAGTTGCTTGTTGATTGGCAGTTTTTTTACTTGATTCTGTTGATTAGTTGTTAAGATTGACGGTGAAAGTGATCCCTCTGATGAATGATGATAATCATGAATATAACTTGAAACACTAGATTCACTTGGACTATTGTTATTATTATGATTGTTATTAACAAATGAATAGGGTGAATTTGTTGATTTGTTGCCAATTCCATTGAATTTAGTGAAACCAATTGAATTGATTTGTTTTTGCTTGTTAAATTGTTGCTGGTATCTTTTACCAATAGGTGGTGAGGGTGATGATATTGAACAATCAAGTTTATCACTGGCAGCAGAGGTTAATTTAGATGATGAATTGTTTGATTGACTTTGATTTCCACCATTTGTATTTGAATAATAAGCCTCATCATATGATTGACTCATAGCGGGATTAATACGTTGGCGAGGACGACCTCGACGATCAACAATCGAACCACTTGAAGATGAATTTAATCCAATTTCTTTATTGTTGACATCATGTTGACTTGAATCAGATGAACCAAAATGACTCTCAATCCACCTAACGAAAAGATAATTAATATAAATAAATTCAAATATCAGAAAAAAAAGATTCATTTAATTTCCTACTCATATTTAGATGATTAGTCCAATTAAGATTAAGGAAGTGTCAGTTTAGGATAATCAATATTTGATCAATAGAAACGCGTGTTAGTACAATTATCATGGTTATTGGTTAAGCTTCAAAATTTGAATGATAATTAAGTTAATTAACTTACTTGTTGGTGTGATCAGCTTTACCTGTAATATCATAAATAGGATGATGATGATGCTCGTCATCATCATCAAGATGGCGATGATGATGAGTAACATTATGATGATGAGGTTTCGCTTTACTTGGTAAGGAGGTGATTGGATTTGTAGCATTTTGTGAATATGTAATTTTGCTTGATGGCGATGAAGATGATGATGATTTTTTTGATATTTCTGCAACTTTATCCTCTATATTTGACTTATTTTCACTTTTTTCTTCTTCTTTGCCCTCAGGCTGTTCGTCATCTGAAACCTCTTCATGGTGAGAGGTACGAACTGTTTCCTTGGTAATCTCACCATCAGGTCCAAGTTTAGATATCTCTTTAACCTCTTCTTTATCGGTTACTTTATGACTTTTACTTGAAAAGTGAGTTAATTTACCTTTTGGTGGTAAATTATTGTCACCATTAAAAATCTGGTCAATGTCAACATCTTTTTCAACGTTAATAACATCACAGTTAATTGTTATTAAATCATTGGGTGACACCAAGGCTTTCTGGTGAATATCAAAACCAGTTAATTCTGAAATTGATTCATCATGATACTGGAAACGTTCATGTTTATCCTCACGGGTTGTGTTCTTAGTCTCAATCTTTTCACTAATTATTAATTCTTTATCATTTTTAGTTTCATCATTGGTTTTAATTGGGATTGAAGGTGAAGGTGACGATGAAGATTTTGGTGATTTAACCATGGATTCAATTGATTTCACATCGATTGGTATTCCTTTTTTGGCACTGTTTTCGGATTCTTCGGTCCAGTTATCTTCTTTCGTCCTAATGGTCACTTGTGGTCCACTGTCAGCGATCACTTTACCATCTTCCATGATTAGTTGTCTTTGAATCCGAGTTTCTACTTGACGAGTTTTATGGTTAACCACTTTTTTGGAACTTATCCATTCACCATCAGCCACTGGTGGTTTTTCCATCATGAAATTAATTCCAAATCTTCCAAATGGTTTAACAATTAAAAAAGAATAAAAAAGAAACGGTAAATTTATCAACAATCCAAAGCGAAGAGTAAAAGTTAAATGAATTGAAAAAGAGAAAAAGTTCATTAGTTTGTTTTCTATTCCACCAGAGGCGCTACTTGTTTCTCTTTTTCTTATTGATTCACTTTTCGTTTTCACCAACAATTAGCTAATTGTTTCAATTCTGTTCTGTTAATCAACTGATCAATTCTAAGGTAGAATTTCTAAATTTTTGATAATAAATTTTTCTTGACAAATTTGACTAATTCAGATTCTGATTATGATCAGTTTTTAGTAATAGTAATTTTCTTATGTCTAATTAACAAATTATTTAAATTGTTGTTGATTGTTTGCCAATATAAACGCACCTTAAGGTCATTATCACTTAAACAAATGGTTAACAATCAATAAAATGAATCAATTGTAACCTTGTATTGTAATTGTTGTGATTTTTTTTGGCTTCATGACAATTAAATGTGTCACCTTAAAGGTCAAGCCCTTGTGGTTATTATATGAAAATTATTAAAACAATTGTCACAATTAACAATTAACATCATTATAAACACCATCATCATTATCAAGTTAATTAAATAGCCAACAATCAGTGTATGTATAAATCGTTTTATAATTTTTCACCACAATCAATTGTTACCTTGTTGTTGTTTTTTTTAATTTTTGATTGTCTATTGTGATGATTGGTGTTTATTACTTTTAATTATAACAATCAACATGATTGTTACACTGATTGTGTTAATATTTGTTAATCATTATCAATGGTAAACATCATTATAATAACTTGACCAGAGTTGAGAAACTTAATTGACCAGGAAAACTTTGATATCTAATTGAAGTGATTTGATTTAGTTAATGAAACTTTTTTTCTTTCATAATCAAAATGAACAATTTAAGATAATCAACAATTAAATAGATAAATATCTTAATTTAAAAAAGATACATTAACTTGATCCTTATGAGAATCGAGAATTTTTTTCTTAATTATATCAAATTAAGTCAACAATTTAATCTGATCTATCTAATTGTCCAATGTATTAGATTAAAGGTTAAATTGTTAGTTAAGATGATTAAATTATTGATCATTAAACAGCAATTAGAAAGTTGAAACTGATTAGAAAGTGAATTGTAATTAAAATCAGTTAACTCTAATTACCAATCCAATCAAATTAAATTAATTTTTTTTTTCGCCAATCCAATAATCTAATAAAATTAATCAGAAGCTTAATCGTTGATTAATTTGATTCCTGTTGGATTAATTTTTCTTGGTTAATTGTAACAATTAAACTTATATTAAATTTCAAGGTGTGTCTATGTACCTATTAGCCTAAATTGTTTGTAATTGTTGGTTGACCTAAATTGCTATCAATCAATTGTTGTTTACTAATTGTCAATATCATTTTCACGTTAATTAATCAAGTTAAATCATGATAACTTTTTAATCATCATCTCCATGTAAACTTTTTCCTAAATTGTTGATTTAAATCAGAATCAAATTCAATCATAATATAAGGATAATTGTTGAATAAATTGTTGATTGATAAATTTTCTTTGCAACAATTTAAATTTTAAATTGTCAAATTGTATTAATGATGATTCATATTCTGTTCACTTTCCTTAAAAGTTAATTGTGATCAACTTTTATCCTTTAATCAATATAATAAATTGTAATCTCTTCCTGATAAGTTGACAAGAATTAACAATTTAACTTAATTGTAATTAATCATCTCACTCTCTTTTCGTCTTAATCATGACAAGATTAGAACAATGTTTCCACACAATTAACCAACAATTGGAGGAATTAGCTGATAATCATAATAATAATTAGTTATTTTCTTAAATTGCTCTCACTTTCCAAATCAATAACAGCTCAATTAAACATCTTAATTGTTACCTTTTTAAGTTTTTCCAACCTTTTTGAATGGTTAATAAGGTGATGATTAAGATTCACAATTAACTAACTGCCGCTGGCGATAAACTTAAATCAACTAATGATTTAAGGTTTGGTCAGAGTGAGATCTTTAAATTGTGAACAATTAGCCCAAAAAATTGATTTCATCGTAACACCAACAATCAATTGGACAACAAATTGTTAATCATTCAATGATAACAATTATCGCTGATTGATTAATCAAAATTAAAATTAATTTCCAAGGTAAATTAATAAGTCTAATTGTTAATCAAGGGAGTTTAATTTCAACAACAAGTAATAAATGATAATAATAATTTCCCAATTGAAAGGTTGACATGATTGGTTAATTGTTAATCATTGAGTAATTTATTGCTCTCCAACAATTAACTTAATTCTTAACAATCAGTGATGGTCATGAGGAAAACAATAAGAAGTTAAATTTTTGATTACTTTATGGATGAATATGGATGAGACCACAATTAACGAGGTTCGTTAATTGTTGGATCTTTATGATTAATTTTTCTCTTTGTCTTTTTCCAGGTAATAACAATTAACTTTTTCCAATGATTTAATTTCTTATATTATCAATTGTCACAGGAATCCTTGATTGTGGAAATTAATTTCCATTGAAATGAATTAAGTGTGACTTATTACACTCTATTGGATTCGCATTGTTTTCATCATCTAATTTACTTAATCACAATTAACTTTTTCTTAATAACTGTTCGAGGTTAATTGTGAATTGATAAAAAGACGAGTAATAATAATAGTCTATGTCATTTTTAATCAACAACGACAACGATTAACAATCAATTTAATCAGTTTTTTTTTGTTAATCAAATTCATCATTCGCCTTTGTGATTAGTTAATTGCTGAGGAAAAAAAATGATTTGGATCATTTTTATTTTCATCTTTTCAATATCTACCTTGATAAATGAAGGTATGTGTTGATTGTAATAGTTAATTGTGAACAATTGGATTTAATTTGATTATTTTTTTCATTTTCAAGGAGTTTCAACTTTAGATTGTGAGAAACAATTAACTGATTCTGATGAGTGTCTCAAGAAATTAGTTTATTTCACCGATTGGAATTTAACTTTCGTCCAAAATGAGGATGATATGGTTCACCATTGCAAGTAAGTTAATCAAACAATTAAGCTAATTAATTGTAATAAACAATCACAATTAGTTTTATACTTTAGCTTTCCAAATGATTTAAGGTAAAACAAAACACAAAGTCTAAATTGATTAATAACAATGAAAAAACTTTCCACTAATCAGCTGTGAATGAAAACTGTTGATTTTAATTGTGAATCAAAAGTGAAAACAATCTTAACCTTGTAATCAAGTTTTAATTGTTAGATGCGTTAATTGTTTCCTCTCACAATCAGTTGCAAACTGTTGTGCTCAATACTCAAATCGTATAACCTGTTAACTGTGTAATTAGTTTATTTCACCGATTGGAATTTAACTTTCGTCCAAAATGAGGATGATATGGTTCACCATTGCAAGTAAGTTAATCAAACAATTAAGCTAATTAATTGTAATAAACAATCACAATTAGTTTTATACTTTAGCTTTCCAAATGATTTAAAGGTAAAACCAAAACACAAAAGTCTAAATTGATTAATAACAATGAAAAAACTTTCCACTAATCAGCTGTGAATGAAAACTGTTGATTTTAATTGTGAATCAAAAGTGAAAACAATCTTAACCTTGTAATCAAGTTTTAATTGTTAGATGCGTTAATTGTTTCCTCTCACAATCAGTTGCAAACTGTTGTGCTCAATACTCAAATCGTATAACCTGTTAACTGTGGTCAATTAATTCGTTAATTGTTGCTTAGATTGGTTCGAGAAAAGGCTAATTGTGTTCGAGAATACAAGAAATGTTTACATGGTTTACCTCGAGAAATGTTCAATTTAGTGTCACAAAATAGTCGACAAATTATAAGTGAACGATGTGACACCCAACAAGGTCGATCTCGTAAGTAAACAATTAACTATCTGGACTAAGTTTCTCTTTTAATTGTCAACAATTAACCGTATCAATTTATGAATAGAATTTCTATCTCACATTCGTTGTATCGACGATGAGACCAGTAAACTGTCCGGTTGTTTGAATAAAGTGATCGCGATGCTTCAATATACCGCCGATCAGGTCAGCGGGGATGAAAAGGAGATCCTAACGGCTTCTTGTTGTGCAGCTCATTATGTTTTTAATTGTTTCGTCCAAGGAATCGACGAGGACTGTAAACATAAAACTGGACTCGACACTGGACCTTACCTGGCTGAGAAAATTAATCAAATGGTCGCTGGTGTCTTCGATGTGGCCTGTAAAAACTATCCGTCCATCGATGCATGTGAATCTCAGCATCCAGAGTTGATGTCACATTTTCATCAATTGGCCGGTGAAAATTTCGAGAAACAAAAAGTTTCAATTCTAATTCCGTTAATGAAAATCGCTCACAAAATTAAATACAATTAACGTGTAAACAAATTTATTGATTGTAATTCACTAATCATTAGAAAATAAAAGTGAAAAACAAAAAAAGTGTAAATCAAAAAGTTTTCATTTTCTATTAATTTAAACTAATTAAAGTTGAATTGTCAACAGAAATCAGCTGATAATAAATAATCAGTTTAGATTAGAAATTGGAAACAATTTTCAACAATACGATTAAAGTTAATCAGTTATCTTTAGGTTAGTGAGTGAATGTAAATTGTAACAATTTAAAAAATGTAAAAAAATTGAAGATTAATTGATTAGCTATAGCTAATCAACTATAGTTGATTGTCGCGCGTTAATTTACAATCAACAAGAGGGAAAAAGAAACAAAGTTTAATTGTTGAGGTGAAAATCGTTTGGCTGCCATTGGAATATTCTAGCTGGTTAATTAGTGGAAAATGTAAACAAACAATTAATTATCTTTCTCTGTATAAGTGTCTATCATCCCAAAGGAAGTGTTTGTCCAGAGGAAATGTGAAATCCAAATACTGACCACTACAAACCCACAAATGTGACTCAAGGTTGTCAATCAAACGCAATCGTTTACTTTGTTTACAGTTACATTTTTTTTTTCTTTGTTTATCTTCATCATCATATTAATTGTCTTTATCAAATTGATTACACAGTCTAATCAGTAATTAGTTTAAATACCTAATAGTTAAAGGGAGAAAGTGATAGAGTGAGAGAGAGAGAGTGAGTGAGCTTGAAAGAGTAACAATGTTGCCCTTTGTCATTTTGTCCCTTATGATGTAACCCTTTTCATTGGAATTGTTTACTTTTTTCCTCTCTCTCTCTCTCTATGGTAATTATATTGTGCTAATTAATCACTTAAATTGTGAAACTTAAGTTACATTTGATGGTCAATTCTAGTGTCCAGTTTGTGTCCATCATCAAATTATTCAAATAATTTTAATTGATTTTAAATTGATTACTTATATTTATGGTTTGATTTTTTTCTTGATTCTTTGTTTACATTTTCAAATTTTGTTCATCTTTTTGTTAATTTTGTTAATTTTTCTGTTCTCTTTTTTTTTGTTATTAATTTTGTTTTTAGTTGATTATTCGGGACAATTATGTCATTAATTACCAATGGATCAACTGTTGATTGTCCATCGATACCTGATGATGCCAGTTTTAAACACTTTCTCCATAGTCTTAAGTGTTCACTCACAGCGACTGATAGTTTTCATCGATTTATTCAATTCTCATCATCATCTCATGGATCTGTGATCGGAGAAAATTTGTCAACAATTAAATCTATATTAATACAGATTATCCTTAAATTGTTATCATCTTTTAAATTTAAATTTACTTCGTTAATTGATTGTCATGGCCTCGGGCCAAGGCCTGGATTCACTGAGATGTTACATCAAATGGATAAATATTGTATCAATGATACTCACCATTGGACGTTAATTGTTGAAGAGACAAGGAAAAGTTTGGATAAATTTAGTTCAGTAAATAAGGCCAAGTACGAGGTAATTAAATTGTCAATTCGTAGGGAGAACAATTAATCTATTAATTAGATTGAAAACTCTTAATCCCTTCAAGAGAAAAAGTCAATCGGGTAAATTTGGAAACAGAAAAAGCTTTTAACAACCAAAACGGATTAGTGATCTTAGTTTTTTCCCTAAATTAAGCTGTTTAATCAATGGATTTAAATTTGACCCTTTAGGCTTTAAGTCCAAGTTTTGGTCAATTTTTTTTGTTGCTTGACCACAAGAAGTAAAAATTTTACCTTCATTTTGAGTCTTTCTAATTTAACTCATTTCTTTTTGTTCCTCGACAGGATTTGGTTCAATTTGTTCATTTGTCCGTTGACCATTTAGTGGGACACAACATCCGTCTTGACCTTGAATCGTTTGCTGTTATTTTCAACGTGATTGCGAGTTCAAAGCCTTCAACAAACTTGACCACCATGGGTCACAATTTACCTTCAACCATGTTAGACTTTACACCTTTGTCCATCTTACCTGTTCGCATATTTAACAATCAAGTTCGTGTAATTAAAGAGGTTAATTGTACCACTCCGCCCGGTTCACCGGCCACACTTCATTCAAAGAGTTGCCTGTCCACTCATCGCCGTAGGCTGAATTGGGACGCACTTGAAGATGAGCCCGATGATTCATGTTCCACCCAAAATAGTCAATCAATTAGCAGCAGTGAAACTGATTCATCGATGACCGATTATAAACTAATTCCAATTAAATTGTGGCAAATTAAAATCTACCAGCGACCCGTTGATTACTCTTTTAAATTGAACGAGTCGAAAAGTCCACTGGTCATTCCGTTAGAATGTACTACAACTACTGCTTGTGATCCTCGAATTGAGAATCGTATTGTTGTTGTTATGAAAAAAAGTTCAAATACCGTTAGGAAGGTCAATACTAACGGATCGATTACCGTTAATTTGACCTCGACAAATATTGTTACAACAGCGACAATCACATCACCCGATCCGGAAGATAATCCTAAACCTGCTAAAAGAAAACGAATCATCTGGGATTTAGATTAATCATTTGGATAATTATTTATTCTATTCTTAATCAACCATTAATCAATTTAAATTATATATCAATGATAATCATAATTTGCCCGATGCATGTAATTATATAAACAATTGCGAATAATCAAAATTGATTGTGATCTTTTTGCTCATTTCTCCATCAATCTCACATATCATCATTATCTCTTTCTAAATTTGTAATATTTTTTTTTTCTCTTGTATAAAAAATAACACTTTAATGTCCCCCTCATGAAAACTATGATTAATTGTCAATATTTTTTGCTAATTAATTTACTTCTTAATTAATTTAATTTTCGCAATAAAATTTTATTACAATTTAACTTTACCGCTTTTCGAAAAATTTTTTCGTTCAAGAAAAGGAAACTAGATGGAGCCATATTTTCGTTAGAATTTTTTTCTTCAAAAGAAAATTCATTTTTCTGTAAACAAATTTTTCTCCAAGTTAATCAATTGATTAGATATTTAATTGTTTTCCAATCGATTTTAATTATTTGAGTTCTATTGAATTTGCTGTTAATCTTTTGCGTTTAGTTGTGATTGTTTCTTTTCGGTGTTGGGATATATTGAGCTGACAACAATGACTTCTCATAGTAACATTACCGGTTCTCTGATTGCTTCTCTTCATCCTTTGGTTATAATGAATATTTCAGAACATTGGACTCGATTGAAGGCTCAGAATAGTTCAGAGCAACAGGTTGTTGGTGCTTTAATTGGTAAACAAGAGGGTAGAAATATTGAGATAATGAACTCCTTTGAGCTTCTCTTTGACCGGATCGAGATGGATATTATTATCGATAAAACCTATTACCTACAGAAAGAGAATCAATTTAAACAAGTTTTCCCTGATCTTGATTTCCTTGGTTGGTATACTACGGGAGATTCTCCTGATGAATCTGACATTCGAGTTCATCAACAAATTCTTGAGATCAACGAATCACCCGTTTTACTTAAGCTCAATCCCTATGTAAGTTAATTCCCCATTTTCTAATCTTTCCATTTTGTCTTCACATGCTTTTCTCATTGTCTTTGTCTTTTTCGGTTCATTTCTTTAGAGTCGCCATACCAAATTACCTGTTAAAATGTTTGAAACCATAATTGATATTGTCAATGGAGAACCTAAAATGTTGTTCGTTGATTTAAATTATACAATCAAGACTGAAGAAGCTGAAAGGATCGGCTTGGATCATGTTGCTAAATTATCAGCTACACCTCAGGTTTGATTTCAATCAATTACAATTAGTGCCTGTGTCTCAAAATTTGAATTTATTTGATGTGATTCTTCAATTTTTTAATCGTTGGTTTATAAATTGTATTTTTTTTCTATTAGGGAGCTGATTCACACAGTTCAGTTGTATCAGAACATCTTGGTTGTCAATTGAATGCTGTTAAAATGCTACGAGATCGTATTAGTTTAGTCTTAGCTTATGTGAAAGATACACAAAAAGGTAACATCCCATGGAACGATGAAATTCTGAGAGAAGCTCATAACCTTTGCCACAGGCTTCCAGTGATCAACAATGGACAATATTCTGAACAATTTTACAATCAATGTAATGACGTTGCTTTAATAACCTACCTGAGCACCATAACCAAAGCTTCAAACACTCTAAATCAATTTGTCAACAAGTTCAACATTCTCTATGATCGCCAAGGTGTTGGTCGACGAATCAGAGCATTATTCATGTAATAATAATGGTGGAACTCTTTGAGATTATTCAGCTAAATTTTCCCGTGTTCCTTTCCACCATGAAGATTACAATGAGCGAAAAGATTGTAAATTCTTAAACAATTTACTCCTCGTAATTGTGAGAAACACAAAAGCCAAATTGTCTTTTATTTAAAATCACAATTAAATCAGTTGCCTGTTTTATATTATTATACATGGATATGGATAAATTTCCTTTTTCTAATTACAATCAAAAAATGATTTATGAGAGTAAAAGAGAAAAGTGAATCTAAGAAGTTTCCAAATGATTGACATATTTAAATTAGGAGAAAGAAATTAAATGTAAAGTGAATTGTAAATCTAATCAAATCAAAGATTTTGATTGTTATTTACATTTTCAATTGTCACTGTCAATCTAACGGAATCAAATTAAATTGGATTTTTTTCCCTCGGCTCTTAAAGTGAAAAAAAAACTCACAATTAATCCTTGAGATTTAATTTCAATTCACTTTTCTCTCCTCTAGATTTTATTAACACAACGATTAATACTAATTACCAAACCTTTTAATCTAATTATCAACAATTAGCCGAGGTAATTAATCATCGGTTTTCCAAAATTGGTAAACATTAATTCTTGATATTTGACACACCCAACAATTAATCAAGAACAAGCAAAAAACCATATTGAAGATTATCATGATTACCATGAAAGTAAATTGATTTGAGACAATTAATTAAATTGTGAACCATTTGATTAATGTTTCGTTTATTAATAATAAGATAAAAGGAGTTAATTTAAGATGAGACATAAAATTGAAATTAACATTTGAATTAAATCAAATTGATGATTAATATTCAATTTAATATAATCAAAGGATGGATACACTATACATTATTTATATTTAGATGACCACAATTACCAACAATTAACTTTGGCCATTTTTTGATTACAATTAAAATTCACCAAAGAGGAGCAATTAATGTGATCGATCCGGTGATCTGTTGAGACGGATAAACATAATGAGAAAATGATTTGATTAAAGGAAAAGAAAACAATTAGGTAACAATTAACGTGTTTAACTGTTAAATTGTTGACATTTTCTGATAATTATTACAACAATTAACGACTAATTATACTCACAGCATGAGATAAACAGTTCCAACCAGAAATAATACAAATCCAGCTCCGACAATGATCATGGCATACATCCAGAATGAGGCTTCTTCTAATCACAATTAACGAGAAATTTAGACAATTAAGGTGATTAACAATCAAGTTAATTGGGTTAGAAAACAATAGCAATCAAAGAGTTGAGGTTAATTTTTCATTTCCAATAATCAAGTTAACAATACAATTGGAGTACAAAGGACCATCCAAACAATTAAATGAGACCTTTAATTTGATAGTTAATCATTTCACTTAATCATTAGCAGTTTGTTGATTATCATTAACAGTAAATGTTTAAAATTAATCATCTTAAATTGATTAGTTGTGAACATTTGAGATTCAAGAATTGATTTGATTTTTCTGGTTTTGTTGTTTTTGATTGTCACAATTTAGATCAATTGATTAACTTTGATTAACATAATCTGAAGGTTAAATTAATTTGCTATTTTTATCGTTACAATTAAAATCCGTTGGTTAATCAAAGTTAATTAATTATCGAGGTGAGAATTAAGCAAAGTTACATCTTGATTAAATCTTTTGTCATTGTAATTAAGTAACATGATTAATATGGATTTTAATTATTACCATCACAATCAAGTGTATGTTTGTGTACAAACAGTTACACTTTCCAACAATTAACTGATTGTATAAGATTTGATTAGTTAATTATCTTTATAAAAAAAATAATTAACTTGATCAAAAAAAGAGACAAAATCTTAACATGATTAACATTCAATTCCGTTGTGATTAAATTAACAATAAAGATAAACCTTAACTTTCATACCTATTAGTTAATTGTTGGTCAATTAAGTGATTATCACCAATCAACTAAAAATTGAAATGTGAAACAATCAACTAATTGCTAGGTTATATAATGTCAGCTAATTAAAGAAATAGTAATTAATTAGTAAAAGTTTACTTATTAAATGATCAATGAGCTAAAAATATGATTCAATTGATTGTGAACCAAATCAAAAGTCTGTTATTGATCACAATTAACTCTTGACTGATTAAATTAATGGTTAATTATTTGTGCATCTATGGCTGGTGAAAGTGATTAAATTAAACTAAATCAAATAAATGATTAAACTTGAATATCTTGTAATGAAAATCTAATTAATTGTCATAATTTATTTATTCATTATGATTACAAATCAAACAATCAAATCAAAAATTGTTCAAATAATAATACAAACAAAACCCCCTCAAGATCACAATTAACTGATTAACAATTAAAATAATCAATGTTAAGAGACAATAATTAAGCCTGGAAGGTAATTGTTTAACAGATTAGTTTTAATTCTGTTAATCAACTGATTGTAAGCTCAACAAATTGAAAGGATATTCAAATTTTAATTGTGTTACAGTTTGGTTGATTTAATTGTTGTCTCTTTCTCTTCATTTTTGATTATGGAAACAATTAAATTAATGCAAATTAATTCAGGACAACAACATTTTCAACTGAACAAAAGTTTAATTGTAAACGAGAAGATGACAATATAATAATAGAAGTGAAAACAATTTAAATTGTGAATCAATTCAGTCTAGAGCCTCAAGGGAAATCCTTTGATAATAATAAAGATTTAATCAATTGTAGAGAGAATTTAATAAAATTTAATCATAACAATTAGATTAATCAATGAACATGAGAGAAAGTTTTGAAAGCAATTTCATAATCAAGATCAAAGAGAATATCAAATTAATGATTAACAAGAATAACAGTAATTAAAACTAATCAGAGAAGAAGTGAAAAAAAAAGTAAAAGTAGTGGAAACAATTAACTCAATCAATAAACAGAATCTCATCTGGATAATAATTTGAAATATTCCGTTGGAAAATAATAACTCATATTTACCATTGAAAATGTCGTAGTATTTGCATACCCACACAAAGGAAACATTTTCAATGGTAAACAATTTAAAGTATCAAAAGAATGTGATTTTTTTCCGTATTCATCCTCATTCTCAGCCCCCTGAACATATATATCATGATGATGGAATCTGAATGTGAACTGATCACCATGTAGAATGTTTAAAAAAGAGGAAGGTTAGAGTTGGAAGGTGATGAGAATCCCAAGGTAAATGTTATTCCAAGTTACATGTTAATATTGAATCTTGAGAAGATGAAAATTACCATGAATCTGAATATCTTTCTGGCGATGAAAATTGTAGTCTAATTGTCAGAATCAAAAAGATGACGAATTTGAGATTATATTGAAATTCTAATAACATCATATTCATCTATTGGAATGATTTAACTTTATTCATTATTGATTTATCGTTGAAGAAACATGGAATTGATAATCGTCTCAGATTATCATGATAATGCTGATAATCTTTAACTGTAAACTTGAACAGTTATGAATGAAAAAGATGAACTCATTCAATAACTGTTAAGATGATTTCTCATGAGGTAACATGATTTATCAATTGTTTTCAGACCATGAACTTTGCTCAAGTATTTTTATCGTCAGAATCATTATCATCTCTTATTGAAACATCAAAAATTCTGTGATAAATGAAGGGAATAAAAAAATGTTACTCATTACATGTATTATTCAAGTACAATAACAATAACCGCCACTGACCAACATCAACTCAATTGACCATGATGAAGTTAATTTCTGAGACTTGGGTGGTAGATTCATGATAGAATCAGGGTAACACCAGAAGAAAGAGGAAAGAGAGTGAATAACAGTTTTTTCCATCACCGATTCTCCCACCATGAAAGGTGATTTCATGAGGGAGATTAAGATTCTTTGAATAATGTTGACAGAACTTTTTTATTTTCTCTTTTCTTCTTCTTCATTGTTTTTGACATTTTCCGCTTAATTCAGGGTGGAAAATGGTAAGGAAAGAATGAAAAAAAAGTTCTGATGAATATTATGGTGAAATTGGTTTTCCATGTTAAATTATTCTGATCAACATGTTATAACATTTTTTAGAAATTCTCTCTACTTTTTTCATCCTCTGTTTCTCCTTCTCTTGGTTATCAAATATTATTTCTCATTTTTTCACCTCCCAGGTGACATTGAAACTGAATTTCTCATCAATCATTTTTTTCTCACTCATTTACTTTCCAATTTAAACGGAAGATCATGGATGATAACTTCATTATCTTCATCATCAAGTTAGAGAGAGAGAGAGAGAGAGAGAGAGAGTTATCAGTTTCATCGTAATTCTATCATGATGATCAGTTAGATTGATATTTTATCTGAATAACAGAATCAATGGAAATAACTATTAATAGTTTTCAGAGAAAAGGAAGAAAAAAATTCTGTCCCATAAGAACTTTTTTCCTCTCTCTCTCTCCACCCACAAATCAATTAACTTTCACTAATCAATGACAATAATTAATAATGAATTGAATCGAATGAATTTTCCATGAATTTCCGATCAATATGATTGATGAAATTTGAAGGTTATACAAACCAAAGAAAAAAAAACTTTCCCCTGATCATAATAATCAAATTGTCTTGATATTGTTATAAAAATTTAACTGTAAATGACACAATTTAATTAGATTGTACTTGACAATCAAGTGAGTATATTATTATGACAGGGAATGGGGGAGAGATGAATCAACATCAAAATCCATCAGAATTGAATTGAATACAATAAAAATATTTAAAAAGAAAATTTTTTCTTCTTATTTTTTGAAACATTATATTTGAATCAATCCTTTTATCATATGAATTATTTCATGAAAACTTTTCATATTTCATCATATGATCATTATTGTTACAATCATTATTATCATATATGTATCATGAATATAATGATAATCATTCTTGATAGTGTGACAATTTAAATTCATGATATTGAGCTGATGATAATAATAATTTGATCTGATACCATTAAATTAGATGCCTCGCTTTTGGTGAGATGAAAATTTAATATTTACAATTGGATTCTGATTCTGATAATGATGTTCAATGTTAAGAAGATGCTTTTTTACCGTTATCTTTTTAACTGTCATCATGATGTGATGATGATGAGTAAACATCACTTATCTAATCATATCATCATCATGAGAATCATTATCATCATCAACTATTGAGTCTCTTTTTTTGTATCTCCTCTCTCATGATGTAAGAAAGGTATTCAATCAATGACACTCTATGAGTTTAATTCAATGAATGAAAATGATGAGGATGCTAAAGTAAGAGAAACTTACAATTCCATCATCTCTTAATCTTCATCTCTCTCTCTCTCTCTCTCTCTCTACAATTGAATCCAAACAATTATCTTTTTAAATTGCTCCTGTAATGATAACCGTTATCACCAACAACAATCCAATTTGAAAACTAATCAATTTAAAGTAAGACAAATGATTTAAAAGCTCAAACTGATCAAGATGATTATTATCACGATAATCATTTACCTTTAATCATCTGAGTAATAACAAATATTGATCCATTTAGAGATTAAAGTAAAAGGGATTATCATTTTTAATTTAACCTTAATTCTTGTAATTAAAGTTGAACATTTATTGTTGGTGATAATCCTAATCCCTGATTGGGATTTAACGTATGTTATAAATTATTTTTACTCTGAAAATGATAAAAAAAAATCCCTTTTTTTCATATTAATCATTGTGTTAATCTGATCAACACTTTGAAAGTCATTATTATCAATTCATTATCTGATTATAATCAGATAGGAAATCAATAATAAACCATGATGATAATGATGATACATGAGATAGTTCAATAATCTTATCATGATGTGTGTATGTCAAAGATTAGGTTTGATGGAAAGAGAGAAAAGAAAAGAAAAAGTTCCAATTCTGAATGAGGAAATGATTTTCATCTCAATTATCCATGAACAACATGATGATGATGATGTTTATGATTAAACTAAAGCCAAAGATAATGATGAACATTATTGATCCAAATGAATCCTTTTCCTTCATCCTCATCCTTTTTACCAGCATCCTCACCGTCATCATGTTTCAACCTTGAATCAGCTGATCACTGAATGATTAAGCATAATGAGAGATGAAGTTTCATTATTGCCATGATGATGTTCATGTTAATTTATCATTGTGATGACAGTT